TTGATTGATTTTTGTTGCTTATAAGTTGCTGTCTTTTGTTTGGTTTGTTACAAAACAGCAACTTGAGGAATTGCAAGACAAATTTGTTGCCCAAGTTCGACAGTGCTCCGATTTGAGTGGCAAACTTGAGAAGACCGAGGTGAATTTTCTTAAGTTTTTTTATCTGATCCTTTAAAATTATGGATCGATGCTAATTAACTAGGTGATAATGCAGAAAAATTTGAATGAAACCAGCAAATTGCTTGCCAACTCTGAAGAGGAATTGAAGAAGTGTCTCTATGTGTTGAAGGAGAAAGAATTTATCATATCTGAACAGAAAAAAGCTGGTATACATTAATATATTCATAAATTTTAGCTTATATTCATATTTATTTTGTGCTGACATTATTTTTGAATGGTCAAAAATAGAAAATGCTCTAGCACATCAAGCTTGTGTTTTAAGGTCTGACTTGGAGAAAACTGTGAAGGATAATGCTTCATTGTTCCTAAAAGTTGGTATGTTGTTCAATTTAGTTATTGCATACGTATTGCGTGTATCAATAAATAGAAACCTGAACCTATGATGTTTTACTTTATAGGAAGGGAAGACAAACTGAATGCTGATAATAGAGTAGTCATTAACCACTTTCAAGTAGAACTAGCTCAGCAAATTGGTTCTCTTTGCAACCTGGTGGCCTCATCAGTGTCTCGACAAAATGAACACCTTGAGAGTGTTGAGAAACTCTGTCGTTCTTTTACGGATATACATGACAAGGTATTAAATGGTTTTGGCATTCAGGATTCTCCCTTTGAACTGACCTCCTGTTTTCCTTTTTTGTCATTGTGGTAGTTCTTGTCTTGTGTTGGAATTCATTTATTAGAAGTAGCTGATCTTGTATTCATAAATCTTGCTTTTAGGCAATCTTGGATATGAAGAAAAAGGTGACCGCTGCAAGGGTTTTGCTTGCTTCCCACATGGAGGCAGTCCAAAATGTTGTGCGATTGCACAAGGCTAGCTCCAATGCTGCCTTAGATGAAATTTCAACTCTAGCTTCTTCAAACGCACATTCTATCGAAGAGGTAGGTGCTGATATTTTGAGGTTTGTTGCGTTTAATTTAATTTATTTGGAGTTTTGCTCATTTTAATTATTTCCCTTTTGTTCATGAACTATGGACCAGTTCCTTTCATCTGAGGCCAGCAAAGCAGCTTCAATGTTTGATGATCTTCAAGGTACTCTTGCAACTCACCAAGGAGAAATGGCTCTTTTTGCAAGGGAACTGCGACAGGTTTATGCTCCAATTTTCAACTTCTCTCTGTCTTAGTGATGTATATCTCATTGTTGTATCCTCGCCTCTCTCTTTATTTTTTCAATTTTTTTTTTTTGGTATTTTTCCCTTTTAGTGCATAGCATTGCAAGACATGCATTTATTCTGCAATGATTTTTTTTCCAAAATATTGTTTTGCTTGTACTATTAATTTTAGCATAAGTTCCCATAGATTGGTTCCATATGTAGATTTCTTTGTTCACTTTATATTAATTTTCTTTTCATTGCTGATTTTATTTTTTTCTCTGTCCCCTTTTGCTTAACAGAGGTTCCAAGTTAGTATTGACCAAACAAAGGACATTTCTGATTACACCAATGGAATTCTTGACAAGCTTTTGGAAGAGTCTGTGAGGGTTCAAAATCATGCAGTCCAAGCTGATGAAGTTCAAATGAAGACCATTGATAGCTTCCTGACGGCTTATGAGGTATAATATACAAATTCCTGCCCAGAGATATGTTGCTGAAATTTCTTACTTATCAAGCTTATGCTATGCAGGAGCAATCAAAGTCTGATGCAGAGAAACTTATTGCTGATATGACAGATCTTGTGTATAACCATGTCCGACAGCAGAAAGACCTGGTTTGTCCATTCTCTATTTGTTTTCTATGGTTCCCTTAATTGTATTTGAAGATTAACTGATGGTTTCTCTCGCAGGTGGATGCAAGGCTTGTAGATATCAGAGAAAGTGCTGTGGCAAACAAAACATTTTTAGATGGACATGTTTCTTCCATGGACGGTATCACAACAGATGCAAAACGAAAATGGCAAGCATTTGCTATGCAAGCAGAGAATGATGCTAAAGACAGTGCTGATTACTCAGCTGCCAAACATTGTCGTATGGAGGCACTCCTACAGCAATGGTAAATTATGCCATGTTTGTATTTTGAATCCATTTCTCGTCTTTGCATTTTTGACCTGTCCTTTTTCTCTTTATTTTTTTTACTTTAGTGTGTCTACTGCTGAATCTGCATTCAAGCACTGCAAACATACTCGGGAATCTGTGAATGATATGGGTAGTAAACATGTTTCAGATATGGCATCACTTATCAGGTCAGTGGTAAACATCCTTTGCAGTCTTGTTGCCATTGTAAATGGGATGGAAAGTTAACAATAAACTCTACCTAGAGCCAATGCCAAAGTTTTTTATGTTGTCAAATTAGGCATTAATATAGTTGCTTCCACTTGTGGAGGCTATTACTATTATCAAGACACTCTATGTTGGATTCTTCTGTCTCTGTTGTAATTTGTTGTTTTTCGGAGGTTAATTTCAATATGTTCCTTTCAGGGATGCTTCTGATACAAATGAGCAACATGATGCTGAGGTTGATAGTGCCCGGGTGTTAGCTGAGCAAGATGGCTTGAAGAATACTGATGATACCCTTCAGTACATTGATAGTGAGTTTCTTCTAGACCGTAGAGTTTATGTTTGATGCTAACTATCGGTCCAAATATTTAAAATTAGTATAAAGCATCTCTTGTTCAAAGGGGCACAGTGATCATTTCATTTATTCTAAGGTGTGAAGGATGTTTTAGTATTAAATAAGGGGAAGAAGGTTATTCATGGAAGCAATGCATGGGAGGGGATTAATTTACCACTCCTACAGCAATGGTAAATTAATACTTTGTTAGGTGATAAACCTGTTGCATTATATAATTTCATTCAAGAGACAAGAATTCAATTTTAATTAAAATGTTTTATGGAGAAAATGTGAAGATTTTAGCAAGTTGCAATTAGTCTCCAATCTCCAATTCTCCCATGTCCCAAAAAAGAAAAAAAAAAGAGAAAAATAGAAAATAACTTTCAGTTGCTCTAATTCATGGAGATGCTAGAGAATAGAATGGTATTATTGGTATCTATGGTCAATTCTCTCTTTGGATGTCTGTAAACATCAACCACTTCTTGCAAAAGGTAGCTTCGGAATACTCTTATGAGTATATTTTCATGGAATTCTGTACAGGCATTTCAGAGCAGGTACAAGGAATTACATCAGGAATCTTAGACTCTGTTAAAGCTCATGGTAAAAGCCTCGAGGCATTCCAGGACAATCATTCAAGTCAAGCTACATCCATCAAGAAGAGAGCAGAAGAAACATTCCAGCAGAGATATATGGTATGTTGTGCAGCTTATGACTTAACCATGCTGACTTAATTTGAGAGTGAGACTCCATTAGCCATAGGATGCCTCCATTTTATTTCTGTTTTCCACTCAAATTGTAAGTGATGGCATTTGCATTTCTATTATGGCATCCAGAAAATTTAAACGACTAATTGCGTTGTGATAAACATTGCACAGGATTATGAGCCAAGTGGGACGACCCCAATAAGAAGCGAACAAGATGTTCCACCCAAGGGGACTATTGAATCTCTTCGAGCCATGCCAATGGAAGCTTTAGTCGAAGAATTTCGTGAAAACAATGCATACGAATCATTTGAGCCAAAGGAATTAAAGCCATCACTGATACCACGCTCACCCCTCACTCAAATCAACTGAAACCGGTGTGGTCTTGCTTCATTCATAATGTTCTTTCCAAATTATATTTGTATCTGTATGATTAGTGTAAACTGTTATTATCATATCACCTTTGGAATATCGCAAGGATGCAGCAGTCGGAGGTGGAAGTTGTAGCATGTCCCAAGATTTAGTACGATTAATCCTTTCTCAGGATTTAGCTTTGGATAGAGCAATGTAAATTGAGCCATAATCCCACACTTTAGGGTTAAGTTTTATTCATGGAATATTGCATTTTTCGTCAGCAGCTTTGTAATGTATGCCAATTTTGTCTACCCGAAATTGAAATTTCAACTTTTCTGAACAACAATTACATATTGCAAAGATGCCCACGTATGTATTCGAGATTCGGCATTTCCCCCAGCTGAAGGCACTAGAGATTTTTATCTGATGATTCAAATTGGAAATTGTTAAGCTGTTCAATTCTTATTAAATTTAACGAGATGGGATTAGGGTAGTTTAAAAATATAGTTTTTTAAAATTTAATTCAATGTTTAAAAATATAGTTTTTTAAAATTTTAATTCAACGTAATAAGTTTAAAAAATAATGATAAAAATCAAATTTCTATAACAAAAAAAAGACAAAAAAAATGACATAAATAGAGTGGTACAAATCAAAACTTAAAAGGCTGTTGGCTTAACCGTTGCATGTTTCCTCGTCTTTGTTCCGACGAAGATACGGTTTCAAAGGTACCTCGTACCATTTCCATGTTAAAGCTCACGAAAACCCAAACCTTGCTTATCGCAAACCATGAAAGATTTCGCCTTTTATCTATTTCTCAACCTGCTGCAATTGCGGATACTCAACAAACCTACCTCAAACCGAGACGCAAAAACCATTGGAATCTAGTTCTTCACTTCATGTAGACCCCAAATATTTGGTCTCTGCTTTGTTAAACTGCAAAAACATCTTTCAAATAAAACACGTTCATGTCCAAGTAGTTGCCAATGGATTATTAAATAATCTCTTTGTTTCAAACAAACTTCTTAACAAATATGTTAACACAAGGCTTTAGGTGAAGCTTATGCCCTTTTTGAGGCCTTGAACCTAATAGAGAACATGACAGTTGAGAAGGAAGGACTATGGAGTACTTTGCTTGCGGCATGTAGAATCCATAAACATGTAAAGTTGGCAGAATGGGCTGCAAAATCTTCTTTTGAAATTCAGCCCCCAGAATCCAGGGCACCATTTGTTACTCTCCAACATTTATGCAAATGCTGGTAGGTGGGAAGATATGGCAAATATTAGGAACCTAACAAAAAGGAACTTGGAAAAGATCCCTGGTTGGACCTGGGTGTCAAAGGAGATTTATGGATTGCTGAAGAGTATGAGTGAGAAACTGGAGTTAGCTGGTTATGTTCCAGATACAAATTTTGTGTTGCATGATGTTGATGAGGAAGTTAAGGTTGGAATCTTGTACACACGTAGTGAAAAATTGGCTATTGCATTTGGTCTTATTGCCGCACCTGAGGGAACTCCTATCAGGATTACAAGAAATCTTAGAGTTTGTGGTCATTGCTACACATTTATTTTGTGTCCGCTATTACAAAGAGGTTGATTATCGTCCGAGATGCAAATCGGTTTCACTACTTCAATGAGGGTGCTTGTTCATGTGGGGACTACTTGTAATTGGCTTACTTGATTTTGGCAGGTTAGTTTTCCCCTTTTACATGTTTTGTTAAAGTATCAGATCATATTTTTTAGGGTTCTTTAATGTTAAAATGTCTAACACGCACCTGCTTTTGAATAGGGAACTTTTGTGGTTCTTGAGGCCATTTGGCTTGTACTGATAATGATGACCTGATTTAATGGACAAGAACAAATAATTCTTGTAAATTACTTGGATTAATTAGACCCTGTTTTGCACTTAAATCTTGTGAAAAAGAAAGTTTTCTTAGGGATGATTCGTTTCCTATTTGTCTATTTGTATCAGATAAACTGTAATGAAAATTTTAGGCTATACCCTTAATGTCATTTGCCACCTCCTAACTAGTTAGTAGTGCTACATAATTTAAAATAATTGACTTGACTATATCATTTTCCAATATTGTTTTCATTTACAGCATTTGTAAATCTAGAGTTCCGCTTCCATGTCTTATTTTGATTGTCTTACTAGACAGTACCATATTCTTTAAAGGGGGCTTTAATATACTTCTCTATGTATATCATTTAATGTGTCCTGATGTATATGGCATGTCTTAAACTTCGAAGAAATTAACATGCAATATTTGAGACTTCGGTGATAAGCTCAAGAAATGACGTGTAAGACAAAAATGCATTGTTATTTCTTTATAGTTGCCGGCCAAATGCATATGGTGGAGAGTGCCGGTCAAATTGTTACCAAGGTTCTGGTTCGCATCTAATATACATTGTTGGATACATACTATGATTACACATTCACGATCCTTAATCAGCTTTGCTTTTATGGTCTTCTATGTAATTATGAGATCATCTAAAATAGTCTAGTTATTCTGCATAACCTCAACTTTCACCATGGGTATCATATCATGCATTCATGCCCTCATTTTGGTACTGACGGTTTTCCAGGTGATATATGCTAGTGAGGCAGACCTTAAGCTTGACTCTGTCCTCCCTCCAAATTTCACAGCTGCTGATGCAAACTTCTTCACTCATACTGCCTTCCGTGTCCTGATTGGGGCTGATCCACCAACAGGTTTTGAGGTTATGAAAGTCAGCGAGGCTGAATTTCCAGCCTTGAATGGCCAGGGCGTTTCTTATGCTGTGCAGCAGTTCCCTTCAGGCTCCTTAAATCCTGTTCACAGTCATCCTCATGCTGCTGAGCTTCTTTTTCTTCTCATAGGCTATCTTGAAGCGGGCTTTGTTGATGCACAAAATGTGTTACATATTCAGACTCTTCAAGCCGGAGATCTGTTTATCTTCCCTAAGGGGGTTGTCCACTATCAATATAACTACGGGCCGGACTCTGCTTTTGCGATTTCTGCCTTCGGTAGTGCAAATGCTGGAACTATAACTAGTCCTGGGTCTGTTTTTTCAACTAACATCAGGGATGATATCATTGCCAAGTCTTTCAGGATTGATGTATCAACTGTTAAGAAGATCAAGGCCTCTCCTATACCCAAGGGCCAAGGCACGCTGAAAGATCCTTTTCTTACATAGATTTTTGTCAACTTTATATTATGAGCACCGGCTAAGAATGCTTTCAGGTTGCCGCATTCTTGAAAAGGTCCTCAAGGCATAGGTTTTTGATAATTAATGTTGGCCATGTTCTTTGTTAAAACAATCTATTAACTCAGGGATCATGTTTTAGTTGATAATATATAAACTTCTTTCGTTTCTTTCAATCCCTTGTATCTTATTTTTGTAAAGCCAAGCAAGAGCAAGGAGAGCCTTAATAATTTTAAACTTGACATAAGAACCATAAAAAAAAAAGTGACATTGTTTAAACTTGATAAAAATCCAAATTCCCTTCACTTGTTCATCCGTTCAGGCTTCCGCATTCTCCAGGCATTGTCATTTTCTAAAGTGACAGTTTCAGTTCCATTGTTGAATAAAAACACATGAGCCTGATGAAAAACTGCTATTTTTGGATATACCCTTGATGAGATGCATGTTTTCCCTCCAGCTGCAAAACTCTCTACCACAGAGTGATCAATCTGCCCAGCCAATAAAAGAAAATGGAACGCATAAAAGTACTGTTATAAGCAAAAAGAGCAGAAGACATGAAGAGTGGAGACCTAGAAGTATAGAATTATATATGTCATAGATAGCACACCAAACTCCTAAGAGAAAGCTTCTTATAAGACAAATCTACGTGTACAAAGCCACCAAATGTTGGTTTATAAACTCTCTTCGTCAAAGTGGATCTGACACAAAGAAATCGAATCAAAATGAGTTACAAATTTTATATAATGGAGGAATGAAACTCATTAGTGGTCTTTGTAGGAAAATGTAGACAAACCTTGATGCATCAGAGCGCATGAGAACAACGTGTTTGTTTTGAGCTTTGAATATCCTGAAGAAAACTGGAGTAAATTCTTCTAGCTTTTCTGAAGCTAATGCCAACAGTCCAAATGGACCGATTGCACCATGAACTTTTGATTTCTTTTTGCAACAAAGGTCTTGAGGATCTTTCCAGGTAGGATCAAATGGCTCAGCTTTTTCCAAGTTAGGTATTGAGAAGGTGAGATCAACATCAGCCTGTGAAGATCGAGGAGATAATTATAAGGAGGTCTCGAATAGTCTTCCTTTTAGTGAATTATGTTCTTAGAACTTTTGTTAGGGAGCAAACCTGGGAGCCACTTATTCCTTTGATTTCAATATGCTCTCCTGGTTTAAGCTGTGTATTCCTCACTTGGACCTTTTTCCCCCTTAGAGTCTCTATCTCTTCAATAGGCCATTGCTCCAATTGCTTTCCGCTGGGATCAAGCCAGACTGTCCTTGGAATTAACTGAGATAATAATGCCATTCAAATTCAGAACAAGTTCATAACAATAACTATCACTTGAATATCAGTAAAATATATTTTGATTGAATATCAATATATATATATATATATTATATTTAAATATTTATAAGGTACCACATACCTGAATGCCAGCCCATCCTTTTTTAACATCTTCCTTCTAAAAATCCGATTCATTAGCCCAACCCCACAAAATCCTTCTGTCCTTTACAGGATCAAAGAATGTCTTTGAAGCATAGAAATTACCATAATCATATCTAAGACCAGCCCAACCATCAACAAGGGCCTTATCAGGTTCGTACTTATCCTGATCAGGGTAATAAGTTCCAAGAGGGTAATACTCGTACCTTGTAAGATCTAAGCTCGCCTTCAAAACATGTTTCACGTTTCCTAGTACAGATGTCTCCAAGCCATTTTTCCTAGACTTTGAAACAGGATAAAAGTCTGGACATTCCAACATTCCAGTACTAGGAACCGAGTGTAAAGGGTGTTGAGCTTTGGTCCATTTCTTGAGATCCTTGCTCTTGAACAAATAGAATATCCCTGTACGATCATTTTTACTTCCTACCAATATATTCCAGTACCCATATGCCAACCAAGCTGTGGTAGGGTCACGAAAGGAACTGGCATTCATGCCTTTATCAGGAACCACTATCGGGTTTCCCTCTGAAGGCTTTTTCCATTTACGTAGATAAGGATCTGATACATTTTCTGGTACAGCATAGTTTTGTACCTGGTTTTCTTGGGGGTCAATTCCTGTGTAAAAAATTACTGGTTTATTGCCTGGAAGAATATTGACTGACTCTGACCAACAGCCCTTAATATCAAAGGGTGCAGAAGGATTGATTGCATATTCGAGTGCTTCCCAATTCACCATATCCTTTGACACTGAATGGGGCCAAACAATGTTGCCCCACACTGCTCCTTTGGGATTGTATTGGTAGAACAAATGGTACAATCCTTTGTAATACATGGGGCCTGTTTGATGACATATAAATTGTGAGATCAATACTTGCTTTGAAAGGGTTGGATTAAAAGAAGGTATAAATTGGACAAACTATAGGCGAAAATTTGCAGCATAGTTAGGAGACTTACCATTTGGATCTGTGGTAGATTTTTTTTTTTCATTGTTTAAACATCCCCAAAGGAAAAACCAAAACAAAGAAAGAAACGAGAAGTTAGTGACAATGTTGACGGCAGTGAGCTTGCATAAAAGTTAGATTCTAAAATGAATATTGAACCTTTGAATTTTGAAGAAAAAACTACTGATCCAATGCTTCGGAGGCTGAAAGTGGTAGCCTGTTCTATGGAGTTGCTTAACTCTAATTGCACTTAGAGACTGATATTCAGGGTAAATCCTGTGAGAAGCTTTGATACCATTGTTCAAATTGATTATTGCAGCAAGGTTCCAGACTACTAAACAAAGAAAAGGAAACTTTGAAATCTCCATTGAAGAGCAAAAGAGGGTAAGTTAGAAGTTTGATTACAGGAGAAAAAGATGGGTTGGAGATTTATAGCTATCCATCCATGGAGAGAAAAAGGTGGTGATTAATTTTCGGAAACTTACACTGACTTGAGATGGATAGAAGTGATCAAATTTAAATGCACGTGTTGATAATTTAAAATATGATATATCTCAATAGAAAAGTTAATTAATGATGAATATATCTAATTTTTATATTAATTTTATTCATGTTTTTAATAATTATATTTAAATAGAAATAATTATTATATAACAAATGATTATAATTATTTAAATATAAATAGATAATTATTCATATAAATATCATTGCATAAATTATTATTATTATTATTTGAATAAAAATTTATATTTGTTCATTTATTATAAATAAACATTTTAATATAATCATTTTTATTATTTTTTATTAAAAAGTCTAAAACTTTATTATATCTTAAAAGTATAATTTTTTTAAAAAAATATTTCTCACGTTCCAAATTCAAAATTTTTTTTTATTATTTATTTTCTCTAACAACAACATGTGTATTACAAAAAAGTAAAGGAATACTTGGAGATGCTTGAAAGGTGGATTAATTATTCAAATGAACTATATATACATATATCTTCAGATAAATAAGACAACTTCTATATTTTTGATAAAATAATAACTTTCCTTATAATTTTTCGTATATATGAAAAAAGATTGTATGAAACGACTACTGATCCGTATATATCTATCTTTAAATTATATTAATTATATTATTAAAAGAAGTCGATTATTAATTACTAACATCATTAATGAATTTATTAAAATAAATATTTACTATTTAATTATCAGATATATAATAAATGATTTTTTAATAATATAATTAAGTAATATGATTTAAGTAAAATGAATATATGCTGACATTGGGTAATGTTTCATATATAGAATCTTTTCTCAATAGATATTTAACCTTTCCTGATATCCATAATTTCTCTTATAAAGAAGATAGAGGAAGCGAGGAAATGATGATCTATTTATAGATTATTTTCTATGTATGTTAAGGATTCATTTGTAGATAAAAAAAATTTGATGAAATTGACATATTTAATTTTATTTAATTGACCATGATGACATATTTTAAATTCCCATATACCTTTGAAGTTTTATGGGCAGGATTAAGGTGTAATCGAGTCGAGTCGAGTTAATACAGTGAAAAGTTTGAATTCGACTTTCAATTCGTGATTCGATATTCGATTCGAACTCGATCGAGTTTCATTTTCTTAATTCGAGCTTGATTCGTAATCGAATTCGAGCTACTCGAACTCGCTCGATTAAGCTCAAAAATATATAAAAATAAGCTCGATTCTTATACTCGACAAGAGCTCGATTATTTGTGCTTGAGTTTGAGCTTGAATTCGAAATATTTTATTAATTAAAATAATAAAAAAAATTAAATATAAAAATTTGATTAGGCTCGCGAGCTACTCGAGCTACTCGAGCTGAGTATAAAAATACTCAAACTTGACTCGATTTATGAATCGAATTACTTGAGCTCGAGCTCGACTCGATAATAATCGAATCGAATTCGAGTTTTATTCGAATCGAACTCGAGTAACTTACGAGTATTAATGTATCATTTACATCCTTAATCAAGATAAAAAAAAAAATTCATTCATTAAAATTTTTTCGTTTGGTTTTCATGATAATAAATTTATTAAAATATAAATAAGTTAATGATTATTATAATTGTTATCCACAACTAATTAATTTATTTCCTAAGTAGTATTTAATCAATGAATTTAATTAAGTACTGTAATAAGTAGTCTAATCAAAACTATTAACCTGTCACCAAAATCTAAAACAAATAGATACCAATTAATTAATTAAACTTCTCCAAAATCACCTTGATTGCCATAGATTTAATCTCAAAATACATGATTTCACCTAAGGTTATTAATATCATATCAGATAATATTTTAATTTTTTTTAAAAGATGGTATATATAGATATCAATTGTTTCGTCACATTGTTTTGGATTTTTTGATTTAATATAAATATATTTAAAAATATACATGAATTTGTATATTATAATATTATTAATAATTTAAAAATAAATATGTAATATATTCAAAAATCAAATAAATAAGTTTAAAAGCATAATAAATAATATTATAAAATTTTCATGGTATTTTAGATATTTAATTTGATCATATGATATTTAAATAAGTATTTTTTTATATAAATATTAAGATAAAAACAAAGAGATGAAAAAAATTAACTAATGCTTTATAATTGTTAAATTTTATAAAAGGAGTATAATTACTTTCTTGAAAAAATTGAAATACTTATAAATTTAGTTTTGAAAAAATTAAATATAAAGTTATAGATTTTGATTTGAAAAAATAAAATATAAAATAAAGTTAAAAAAAAAAAACTCTAAATTTTAAGAGTTATTTTATCAATTAATTTATTTTTATTAAGTTTAAAATAATTAAATAATAAAAGATAAATTAAAAATTACAATATATATTTTATATTTACGTACCGATCGAAACATATTATTCAATCGAAATTCATCGAAATAAATCAAATTTAACGAAAATAATGAATATTACTTGATATTAAATTCGATACAAAAAATTATTTTTAAATATATCATATTTTAATACAACTGAAGAATATTGACCGATATAACCAATATCGAAACGAAATTAACAATTATAATTTCACCCTTTATATGCAAAAACTCCATGTATAGAAACTCCATCTCTAGCGCTCAAAAACATCATTAACTGTGTTCTTATTTCCTTTCTTTATCTTTATTTCTCTAAAAATCGAAACCTGAAAATCGCTTAGGATTTATATATAATTCTTTTATTTAAGACTTATTTTTTAAATATTGGTTTTCTAACTTTTTCTTACTTTCAATTAGGTTTCAAAAATTAATTTTCCTTTTTTTTTCTTTACTATCGCCTGATTTAAGAATATACATACTGTGCGTGGTTAACATCTTGGAATAACAATGACGTAGTTTATTGGAATAGTAATTCTATTATTTAATAAAAACTCCTTTTAATAACAATAGAATAACATATTTACATAAAAAAAAAGTTTATTACAATATAAAATTTAAATTCATGTACTAAATAAAAAGAGTTGTGGTCAAAGAAGAACTCTAGATTTAATGCTAGATAGCTAAAATATTTCGTTAAAACCATTTAACTATCAAATTATACTGAATCTGGTGATTTCAATTTGGTTTCATCTTATCTGGAGTCTTCCTTTTCTTTTTAATCCCTTCCCTCACTTTATAAATCAACCAACGTCCCATCAATTTTATTCCACACAAAAATATTCAAAATTTTTAACTTCATATACTTTGTTTGTAGGGTTTTGGACTTCAATTATCAATGGAGGTTTTGAAATTCTTCTCCCTGTATTTATTTGTCTGTTGTTTTTATGTGATAAGCAACCTTAACAATGGCGTCGAAGCATCTCACAAAGTTTATAAAGAGTTACAATCTGAAAGTGCAGTTAATGTCAAGCAACTCCACAGAACTGGCTATCACTTTCAGCCTCCTAAGAATTGGATCAATGGTGAATTAATATATTTTCTTCAAAATTTTCTTTTCGTTAATATCGTTAGTGTTTAAATTTTATACGAAAAAAATCTCATATTCACCTTAGACATGGCAGAGGACAAATTCTAAACGTAAAAAATCATATAAACTAACTTGTCATGTGTTTGTTTTGTTTTGCATTCTTCCTTGGGTGCTGCTTAAATGATGAACACACTGTGAGCAGATCCAAATGGTAAGTTTTCCAACAGAATACTTCAAATTTCATGTTCATATATACTTGTTTAACTATGCGTCCCTGTTCTTTGCCCTTCTAATCGTTCCTACCTTCTCACGTAATCAAATAGGTGTAATGCACTACAATGGGATTTACCATGTATTCTACCAACACAACCCCAAGGGTGCAGTTTGGGGCAACATTATTTGGGCTCATTCGGTCTCCAAAGACATGGTCAATTGGGAAGCACTTGAGCCAGCAATTTGTCCTTCAGAGCACTTTGATATAAATGGGTGTTGGTCTGGATCAGCCACAATTCTTCCAGACAATACGCCTGTACTTCTTTACACAGGAATTGATCCGCAACACAACCAAGTCCAAAACTATGCTATACCAGCGAATTTATCAGACCCATATTTGCGTAAATGGATCAAGCCAGCTGACAACCCGGTCGCTGTTGCAGATGAAACCATGAACAAGACAGCCTTCCGTGACCCATCAACTGCATGGAAGATTGATGGGCATTGGCGAATGGTGGTAGGTAGCAGAAGGAAAAATAGAGGGATTGCTCATTTATACAGAAGTAGGGATTTCAAGAAATGGACAAAGGCGAAGCACCCTTTACATTCTGTGGCAAAGACAGGTATGTGGGAATGCGTAGACTTTTTTCCAGTGTCATTGACCGGTGAAGCTGCGCCAGACGCATCTGCTTTTGGGCCTAATGTTAAGCATGTAATCAAGGTCAGCTTAGATGTTACTAGGTTTGAGTACTACACTTTAGGTACATATTTCCCGGCTAGGGATAAATATTTGGTGGACAAGGGCTCTGTTGATGGTTGGGATGGCCTTAGACTAGACTATGGAAATTACTATGCTTCAAAGTCGTTTATTGACCCCATAAAGAACAGGAGGATCATATGGGGTTGGACCAACGAGTCTGATACTCCTCAAGATGATGTTAAGAAAGGATGGGCTGGTATTCAGGTAATGCGTTCATTATTTTGAAGAATAATCAAATATTTTTATTGATTTTTAATAATTTGTAAGTAATTTTCAAGGATTTGTCTCAGACAATTCCAAGGAAGGTGTGGCTTGATCCTAACAGGAAGCAATTGCTGCTCTGGCCTATTGAAGAAATAGAAACACTTAGGACCCAAAATGTTAAATTAAGCAATCAAGAGCTCAAGTTGGGAGAACATGTTGAAGTCAAAGGAATTACTGCCGCCCAGGTTTGCTGCTTTAGATTGAAACCAATATATATAAATATATATTATTGATTTGAATTAAACCGAAATTCAAACATGACTTTCTGGTTATTGATGATGTTCCCAGGCTGACGTCGAGGTTACCTTCTTCATACCTAGCTTGGACAAAGCTGAACCATTTGATCCTAGCTGGACCAATCCGCAGGATCTTTGTGGGCAAAAGGGCTCAACTGTTCAAGGTGGTGTTGGACCATTTGGGCTACTAACATTAGCTTCAGAAAAGCTAGAAGAATACACCCCCGTTTTTTTCAGGTTATTTAAAGGTCAAGACAAGCATGTTGTTCTCTTATGCTCTGATGCTGGAAGGTTTGTTTTACTAACCCTTTTTTTTTGTACTTATCTTAAAATCAATATTAGTTCCTCTTCTAATGTCAAAATTTAGATTTATTTTGATTAATTTTGTAACATTGTGGCAGCTCTTCCTTGAGGAAAGTTGGGCTATATAAACCATCATTTGCTGGATTTGTGGATGTAGATTTGGCTGATAAGAAGAAGCTTTCTCTTAGGAGTTTGGTACATATTCTAACCCTAAACATGTCCTTAAAAATTTCTTCTTTCTCTCACTCTCTTGCTTTTTCTTATCTCTGCAGATTGATAACTCAATGGTGGAGAGTTTTGGAGCTGGGGGAAAAACATGCATCACATCGAGAGTTTATCCAACGCTGGCAGTTTTTGACGATGCTCACTTGTTTGTATTCAACAATGGGACTGAGAAAATCACTGCAGATGTTGAAGCCTGGAGCATGAGAAAGCCTAATAAGATGAACAATTGAAAGGGATGGGACAAGGATGATATATTGGAGATAGGAGCTTAGGAATTAGGATAATAAATAAAAATCACAAAGTTTTATGTAATTTCTGTTCTTTTTTTTTGTTTTTAAATGTAATTAGGATTGCTAAATTCTGTTCCAGGACAAGAATGGAAAGAAAAACTGTTGTTGAAGTTCATTTCTTTATGAATATTATGCCTCCGCTTGGATGGATGAGGAAGTTTTCTTAATTTTTTATTGTTGAAGGAAGCCCATGCATATATATCTCTTCTACTTCTAAACCTTTAAATCCAATAAGTGGGTTTGTAAGAAGGATGATTACAATCATGGAAATTTAACCAAAATTCTCAGGACTCCTAATCTCCAATCAATTATCAAACATGTTTTTCATTTTCTTTTTAGCAAATTACAATTTTTTTCTCTCCATATAAATTCTCCGTTTTTAATTCCACACTAGATCCGTTTCTCTTGTTATTTTGCAAAATTAGACAGCAATTTGTAAATTCAAAAAAAAAAAAAATCCAAACTTTTAATTTCGAAGTTTCAGTTCTATTCTTTGAAAGTTTCAATTTCTTAGTATGCATGCATATATTTATAAAAATACAAGGTCCAAAATAAGTAAACGATCTCTTCAAACCATACCTAATATGCTAACATACCTAATCAACAGTTACTAACTCTTTACACTAACAGCTAGTACAGATGGTCTTCTTGACGCATGCATAAACATACCCAAGCCAATGGCTATCGTGAGTCTCTAATGATGATTCATAGGAGACTGAAGTATATTAAGTTTTTAAATAAATCTGTTAGCTCTTAGATACGTGCCGTTTTTATGGATTTATGTATTTACGCTTATTTCAAATTAAACATATATAAATGAATTTATTTTATCAAACTCGTATAATCTATACCACTTGTCTTTATCTTTTCTTAATGTCTAAAATTACCATGTTCACAACTTTTAAGTCTAATTGGATTATCATGAATCAGTTACTTTATACTTAGATTAATGGTCCATCACTGAGAATGCGTCTCTGCAACTCCTTTCAAATAAAATCAAGATGTACCTAGAACACAAGCACTTCTCCTTTTATTATTTTTTCTAACCAAAAACTAATACTATTTCCCTTTAATCCCTCTGTTTTGGACAAGGGCAATGCAAGAAAAAATGGAAAGCATTCACATCAACATTTTGTGGAGATTAGTTCAATCCACATGTATCAACGCAAGGAAGAAATGCCTAACATAGTTAAACGTCAATTTGAAACTCAATTTCACTCAAATTCTTCATCAATTGCCAGATCTAGATATCAGATTTAAACAAACAAAACAAAACAGCAAAGAACTAAATTGAAATTTTTTCCAAGTCCGATATTCAAGTTCTTTTATGGCAGAAAAGATAACCAGAGTCATAGTTTACTTAATCTTCTTCTTGGGCCTCAACTGCAACAAGAGAAAGAAATACTTGGTTCATTGCAACAAAAGGGTGATATTAAAAATTACTAGAACCCAAATACAGGATACATAAACAAACCTGATTGCTGTGACCGCATTTCTTCTTCCGACAGTTCACAGCTCGTGGATGCAGACGAGCATAACACCTAGCAGACAAAAATTAGGAGATAAATTATCTTCAATGATGCAGGATGCACATTGGTAAATATTAATAGTTTTACATGAAGATGCAAATTTCAACATAACACACAATAATTGAGCAAAGCAGCAATCAGAGCAGATTGGTTTGTTAGATCCTGTCACAAAGCCCTTCAAGTTAATCATAAACTCAAATCCTATGAGATGTAAAACATCAAACTCCGTAAGAACACCTCACCACAAGTTGTTAAACAAGTCTCAAAATAATTAAGAAAAACCAATATTTTGATTTATCAAGCACCATAAACAAGAAGCAAAGCATCAACTATCATGTGCTACCCTAGAAAATCAACTGCAAGTAAAGTTTAGACCAGTAGACAAAGTTAAAGAATGAAAATTTCAATTGCAAAATAGGGTTCAACTTGAAGTCCCATTTTTCACTTATACTAAATACTAAAAAGTGGGACTAATTTCTTGCATCTCTTAATTGTGCCATTCATGAAAATCAACTGCCAAGGAAATTAGCTCAGCTGACAAAGTTGAAGAATAGTTACAATCATTTTGGGACCTCGTATGACCTCTATCCCACTCCAAATAAAGAGTAGAGGCTAAGTCATGTCCCAAAAACTAAAACATACCCATAAAACAAGAAAGAAAAGAAAAGAAAAGGAGCTTACTTGCGGCAAATCATTTTGTCTTGGTTGTATTTGCGAGCCAAAGCCATTAAAGAAGGCTCAATAATTCCACCTCTCAACCTCAAAACAAGATGAAGAGTTGATTCTACATCCAAAAAAAAAAAAAAAAGATCCACAAATGAAAAACCTCAGTTAAGTGTCTTCATCAAATAAAAAAATTAACAATATCATTAAAAAAAAGGAAGAAAACCCCAAATAGAAACCTTTTTGGATGTTGTAGTCAGCCAAGGTACGGCCATCTTCGAGCTGTTTTCCGGCGAAGATAAGACGTTGTTGGTCCGGTGGGATTCCTGTTAGTTCATATAGTTAAACTTTTTGATCCATTTGCGATTTTAAGATGAAAAAAGACATGAAAAATTGGAAAGGAAAAGGAAGGGGGTAGAGTTACCTTCTTTGTCTTGGATCTTGGCTTTGACATTGTCAATGGTGTCGCTGCTCTCGACCTCGAGAGTTATGGTCTTACCGGTTAGGGTTTTCACGAATATCTGCATCTTTTCCTGCCCGTCTTCCTCTCTTTAACCGGCCTTCACACAAAGAATGAGCGGGTCGTTGATTGTTAGGATTTTATCCTCATATTCTAGGGTTTCAATTGGAGTTGAGAATGCATTGGGCTTTTTCTCTTTGAGATCCAAATAAAAAACGTATTGGGCTTTTAATAGACTTTATAAACTAGACAAGCCCAATTTTAACTTTAATAATAATATTTATTAATTATTGTTATTGTTATTATTTAATTTTATTTACATTTTAACTAAATTAGTCAATTAAATTGATGTCATCCAAACTATATAGCTAATATAAATTTATAAAAATTATTTAATTCACTATTAATAAAAATATATTTCCAAAGTAATACTTTTAATAATGCTTATTAAAATAAAAATTTAACCCATTTTCAACTTGTTGCTCTTTGCATGGACAACAAATTTTCCATTCACAGGAGCATTTTTATTATTCAATTCAGGCCCAAGTTGCATGATAAACAATATATAGCTGTTCATTTGCTCATTTCAAATAAGCTTAAAACTGTTAATTTGTTAATTCATTTCTTTCAATGCAATCCCTCGACGATTAGGGAAAGAAAAATTCTTTGAAGACAAAGCATTAGCTAGAAATTCATAAACCTGGCGATAAGACTTATGCCCTTAATTAAACGGGATGATCAAGGCCTGAAAACTCGACATTGGTGAGAATTTTATCTTAAGATCGGAATTCCTACTAACATTAAACAAATGCAGGGCGTTCTTATCTGCCATACCCACATTATAACTCCACAAGGAAAACCAACAACGAAAGAGTTCCACAACTTTTGTCTCTGTCAATTAATATCAAAACCCATTCTGGAACTACAAATTTGCAACTCGAGAACTGGCAAAGCAAGTTTGAATCTAAACTGAAAATTGTTTTAAAAAAGAAAGAAGACTCCAAGCATTGCAGCAGCAGCAACTGAGTAACAGATATGAAGCAAAGAATCACAGCCTTCTTCCACGTCTGCCACCCTTTCTACGGGTACTGTCGGTGGGAATGGGGGTAACATCCTCTGCGGTGAAGAAAAGTTTGCATGTCAGTTTATAAGAATGGAAGTGAATGGACCCAATAAAGCCTTGAGAATCGAAAGAATTGAAGCAGTGTACCTATGCGTCCAATTTTCATGCCTGAACGAGCAAGGGCTCTAAGTGCTGACTGGGCACCCGGACCAGGTGTCTTGGTTTTGTTCCCTCCAGTAGCTCGAAGCTTTATATGAAGGGCAGTAATACCCAACTCCTGCAGATAATAAACATGAATAACCATAAGTTCACTGAATGTAACTATGTATTGCGCTACAATTCAGAGGGTAAGCTACAAAACCTTGCAGCGTTGAGCGACATCTTGTGCTGCAAGCATGGCTGCATACGGGGAAGACTCATCCCTATCAGCTTTCACCTTCATACCACCTACGTTTGGGCAAGGAATAAGTAAAAATAATCTTCAAAAAATTAACTCCAAGCTGGGACATGAATATTATCGCATTTTGCAATGTTTAATTAACACTCTTTACTATAAAGTTACAATTGGCTTTTGAATAACTAGTCAGCTTCCTTTGAAAAATCCAACTTCTGTGTTAGCCAGTTGAAGTATTAAAACCAACTAAATCAACTTTTAAAATCTAGATATGGTAACAAAACCAAACCATTTTCTAAAGACAAGTGTAAACCATACCAGTGATGCGAACCATTGTTTCCCTTCCAGACAAATCAGTCACATGCTGCAAATTCAATGATAGCATTTTAAACAGAATGAACTATCAGAAAAAAAAAAAAAATCAATGCAAACAAAGGAGGTTACCACTTACGATAAATGTGTCATTAAATGAGGCAAAAATGTGAGCAACCCCAAAAACATGTTCACCCTCTCGCACAGCAGGTCCAAGGGTAGTATTCTCCTCCTTGGGCTCCCTAACCTTTCTCCTTGACTACAAAATACCGCAAATCAATGAACACATCAGCTATCCGCTTTGAACCTAAGTCAATAAATAAATCTGCCCTATAATAACAAAAACTAAAAACATAAACCCAGGACTCCAATTGAATCGAAAAGAAAAACCATCAACAGAAAATATTAGGTTAAATCTAATTTAATTATTAATTGATTCAAATTTGAGCTTTCACCATTTTAAGACTGAGACAAAGCAGTGCACATTTCTAATTTGTACTTTGCTTCAGTTTTTCAAGCATAGAAACATAATAAAAACTAGAGCAAAGTAAATAATACCAATCTCAAAGAAGAAAAATTCACATAATTTATTACCTTGTTTCATTTAGTCTGTAAAATTCCAGTCTTTTATTTCTATTTACTATACCCAAATCCAAAACTATTTTCTCAGTTACCAAACAAGATTCAGCTTAACATCAAGTATCGTAGTAGATGCAAAGAGAGAGCAATTACCATGGCTTCAGGCAAAATGAAAGAGAGATGCGAGACTAGGGGTTTTAGAGAGCGCTTCCGCTGATGACTACTCTAGCTTTCAAAGGGCAGCCGAGAAACCACTTATTACCCTTTTATAGTTAGGGTTTTGACAGCCCAGACATTTAAATGACGAAAAGGCCCTTCGGTAGTTTAATAGTGAAACAGGGGTAAATGTGTCCTTTTATCTAAACAAAATGTTTTTGCTTCAAGTTATTATTTGATATTTTATAAATAAATATTATAAACCTTAATTATTAACCTTTCGAAATTATAGACATCAAATAATAATATCTTATAAATAAATATTAAAAAATATTTATATGTATATTTTCTTAAATTATCTAAATCTTAATTATTAAGCTAACATTAATTATCTTTATGCATAATAAATATATTGATGGATTTTTGCAATAAAATTGATGTAGAATTGAAAAGGTAGTAAACCTCTGTCGGAGGAATAATCTAAAAATCATATAGTTAATAATATTAATTAAGTGTATTTTAAGTTTTTTTAATGCATATAATATAGTTAATTTATATAGTACTGATAGTAAAAATTTTTAATTTTACAAGCGTAATTAAAATAGTAATACATATCTCTTATATATTTTAAAAAAATAAGTTAAAAAAGAAATAATAAATGTGTTATTATCTGAATTCTAATTATAAAGTGAAATGTAATACAATAATATGATACGAATATGATATAAAAATAAAATATGAAAATAATACAGTTTAAAATTATAATAATAATAATTATAAATATGATTAACAAAAAGTGTAATTTAAATTTTTGTATCGACATAAATCGTGAAACATAATTTTCATATAAAACATAATATCAAATGTTAATTTTTTTATTTTACATAATATAAATACATAAATTATCAAATGAAAAAACAATATAATGGCTGATGAATGTCTAGTGAAAAGCAATAGAACGTTGTTTCGGACCTATTTTTATCTGTACGGATAACTTTTTAAGAGGATAATGGAATGTCACCGCATTGAAGGTGCAGTAATATCCAAACGAGGTCTTACCCAATGTAGAATTGTGATTTGCGCATGAATCTTCCTAAAAAATTGACACACTTCTGTTGAGTTCATCTAACGGGGAAAACTACAGATACTACATTACATCCAGCAACTTCACAGCAAAGGCAATGACTAACTGCAGCTTTAGTCAAAAGGTTCTTCTTTTGCAATCTTTTACAATGGCTTCTTTTGCGGCTGTCAACTTGCAGAGTAATCTTCCAACCCCATTCTTCTCTACTAATTTTTTTTTTTAAATTGTTTATATATATATATATATCTATCTATTTGAACACTCTCCTCTTCAAGAATAAGAAGCATTTCCTACATTGAAGTTCAGCCACCTAATTGCTAAGCAGGTTAAGCCATCAATCGCTGCTGATGCAACGCTCATACACCATAGATGTTGCAGAAGATGCTTCGGCTCTTACTGAACCCTCCAGTTTCTCTTCAGCTGAATTTTTGGAGACCAGTCATGTTGAAGGAGATACTCCTGGAGCTTCGCTGGAAGAACGTTTTATGAACATGACCGATAATAAACGAGATATGGTTGAAGCTTGGCTAAAAGAAAATTTTCCGGACATCACAGATGATGTAGATATTCCTGAAGCTTCGCTAGAAGAAAATATTGCGGCTTCCATGGATGATGGAGATATTCCTGAAGCCTGGCAACCGGAATATTTCATCTATGGCGACAACAGAGATTTTGTGCCATTATTAGATGCTTCATTTCTTAGTCAAGTTGGGTTCGTGCCGACTCAACAGCCTTTCAAAGATTGTTCAACTCGAAAGGTAAACAGAGTAATACTTGAGTCAAGATATAAGACAAATCCATTTCAATCATTCCGTTTAATTACGAAGCTAAAACTATTCAATTTCTTGAAACGTGTTTTTATTGTTTACTAAATATGATACTCCTTTTTGGGGTTATTTGATAGGTTAGCATCCCTGAATGGATCTTTCTCATAATCAATGTTCTTATTGAGTTTCTATCAGCAGCATTCGACCAGCTTTCATCTGTGAATAAGCCTCAATATGCTTTAATTGCCATGTTAATGTCTTTTGTGGCTGCCATGACATGCATCATCGAGCTTGCTTATAAGGCTGGAAAGGAAAGAGTCGCCTGGAGGTGGGAAAGCAATTTACCCTGGTTTTATTATTCATCTCCAGGTCACAGGCGTTTTGGTACATTCCCCGAAATGATCGGATTAGTTTGTGCCATGTTGCAGACTATTTTATCAGCAGTTACTTACTCTTTCTACCTTCAACAAGCTGATTATCCCCTCAAGATCTCTTTCTGGCCAGTTGTATTTGCTCTAGGCTTATTTTGCTCTAAATTTATGTAGAATCCGAATCAGAAACTCTTTCCCAGACATTAGATCCTAGATTATGGTATTCCAACAGAATGATTAACTGTTATTGGACCCTTTTTATTATTTAAATAGAGTTAGTAGAGGCACAACTTGAGGCTCCTTGGAACTTGCTGGAGTCTGCGCCAGACCCAGTCGTGGGAGAAGTTCACTACAGAAAACCTAATGCTTTTGCTCCATTAGCTTGTTTTGTCTTTATCTAATGTCAAAAAAATGTTTGATTTATTTCCTCTCTTTTTGATATTATCCTTTTGACTAACACTACACTAGAATTGCTCATAGAATATCTAGATGGGGATAAAAATTGATTTGAAACAGATATTTAACAGGATCAACAACTATCTCAACATCAGATACACTTCATTTATTCTTATTTTAAGAATTTGAACAGAAACATGATCTACAACAGAGAGTTGATTCTTCTGTTCTGGTTCCTAGGCTGGTTAATTTGGTGGATAAATACTATCTTCAAATCTCCCAGACCTACAATAGTCAAAAGCTTCTAAGCAGGGAAGAAGGGGAACATGAGCAAAATGAACCTCTGAAAGAAAAAAGGGTAGAAAATTGTAAATAGACGATATGTTTCTTGATAAAACCACTTCAAAGCAGCAAAGTCAATCCAGGATTTCAAAATGAATGACTAAACAATCCACAACTATACAATCTGATGATATTAAGCAGATATAGCAGTTGCTTTCAAGAATGCCAAATGAAACAACAATAATAGATCTGGTTTTGCCACCAAGCTTATTGCAATTGTAGGAAAATTCATAGTTTCAAATATTTCCCCCCCAAATAAAGTCAGCCCAGCACCTAATGACTAAATTTAAGAGTAATTTATGAATCCTAAAGCACTATAGGTTCAAACCTGTATTTGAGTAAGCCATAAAAGCCTCTTGAAATTACATTAAGACATTAGAGACTTCAGCCTGGGTGCCACAATCTCAAGAAGGCCCTTGGGATTGTCCACATGAACCCAATGGCCTGAATTCGGAAGAACATGAACTGAAATCTTGCCTGCATATCCATTTCCTTCCTGACTAGCAAGCTTTTCAAGCCGATTAATCACATCTGCATCCCATCGGTCACTTTTCTCTGCACGAACAATTGCTATCTCGAGTCCTTTTGGAGGGTGCTCCAACAAAGACCAATACGACATCTCCCTAGAAAATTTTACATTTGATAATTCAGTAATAAGTAACAAAGAAAAGATGTAGGCCAAGTAAAAGCAGAACAAGTGATATCAATGTGGAATCATTGAATATTACTACCTGTAGGACTGAAACATCTGGACAGCACCTTCAAGATCAAAAGCCCATGTTTCTCCTTCTCCAGATTTCTTGAGGTTGGTGCCTATCCACTCCGACAATGACTTAGAGAACCCAAGTTCAAGCATATGGTTAACAAGCCACCTGAGAGCAGATATCATAAGTATACAAGAGGCAAAAACGTTTGATCCACACATCCCTCCAAAAAAAGGACAAAACCATGAATCAAATTGTGCATCATTAACCACACTCTCATATCCAACAGAATAAGGAATTCTCAGCATACAAGTGATAAATGCTCTACCATTGCAACTCATGCTGAATGTCTAAAACACCATTGAAGCATTAGCTGCCTATCAATTACAACTGCAGAGACACAAACTAGGTGACTCTAAATAACAATTTCAACGTGCAAATGGTAGATTACAACAAATGGCCAATAATGCGGAACAAGTATCTTCCTTTTGAACCCCAAACCATCTCTAGAAAAGGATTCTTGTGATTTTAATTCAAAGCTCAATGACATGTATAAATACAAGTACGAGACAAATTAATTGGTGAAATTATCCAATTGAAACTAGAAAACAGAACAACAATGCCAAGAAATAGAAACAAGTTAGAAGAGGAACAGAGGTTTTACTTCCGAGATGGCACCATTGAAGGTAAACTTTGCAAGGTCTGCAAAACTTTTTCCACTTCACCATCACTGTTTTCAGAAGTTACTTCTCCAGGGACAGAATCGAGTACCCAAATCTGTTCTGCACCAGTAAATGAAATAAAATAACAAAAAAAAATCGCAAATATTAATCCTCAAATACATACAATCAGCAAAAAGAACAATGAAAAAGAGTGTATAGGAATTGTGGCAATGAAAGATACCTGTTTGGGAAGTTTGATATTTTCACCATAATCTCTGTTGGCACAACTCCGGGCATATTGCAATGCAACTTTGCCACCCATGGAGTGGCCAATGACAACATCCGGCCAATCCCAGCCTTTGGAATTAACCAAATTACCCAAATCTTTAGCTGCATTTACCATATCATGCGGCGGATCCAGCCCTTCTGTCTCCGTTGACTTCCCATGATTCCTCAAATCCACCAGCACCATCCTCCACACTACAAAATAAACAAATAAATAAATCAGAGGCTTTTCCTTTCTTTCGAATATTCTCGGGAAACAAACAGGGTGAGGATCAATTACCTAAACAAGAGGAGGTGGAGAGAGAGGAGGCGAGGTTGCGGGAAAAAGAACGCCAGTTGCGGGCTGAACCGAGGAGGCCATGGAGGATCAAAGCTGTGTGAGTGTAGGGTTTGTTTGGATTGGCTTGGATTTCTTCGTAAGCTAGGGTTTGAAGTGATCTTTTTGAGGTGGTGTGGTGATGAGTCAGGAGGGAACTCGGTAAGTTAAGGAAGCGAGTCAGGAGATTGGTGGGAATTACTTGTTTGTTTCTAATGAGTCGAGCCATTTCGGATTCTTCCGAGCTCTGTAATGGCTGCCTGATAAATATAAGGGAAGACAAAACAAAAACGCCAGATAAATTATAAGGGAACACCAAAAAAAAAGGTTAAAACAATGACAGCTGTGGGATTTGAACCCACGCCCTTTCGGACCAGAGCCTAAATCTGGCGCCTTAGACCACTCGGCCAAACTGTCTTCTTGTTGTGAATTAATTCATAATATATTTATAAACAGATAAATAGGATATTCCTTACTTTTGGTGAACTTTACTCCACATTTTGTAGATTTCCTCTATATATTTATGTACATATATAGGTGCATGCATGCAAGTACTTGAATTCAACATCACCTTCGAACTTTAACTTTAAGCTTGATGACGATCAAGAGTAATGGAGTTAACAAGTTCGATTAAGTTGGTTATTTTTACCAAGTTGTACTTTAAATCTTGATGATGAGGTTCAAATAACTGTACTTTTTTACTTCATTCTGAGTTGATTACCTTATTGCTTATTAAAACTTAGAATAATAAGGGAACATATTACTTGATCTGGAGTAGTAGGAAAAAGCAAGAACTCCTTTATGAAATTTCCACTCAGAAACAAATCCTACGAAACATTCCTCTTCACATTTCCCTAATCTTTTAGTCTTTTGTTCCCTTATAATGGGTTTTTTTTTTTTTTGGGGGGGGGGGGGGGGGGTTTGAGAGAATCATCAATCTTCTTTAGTCAAATGGATCAATTCGCGGGTCATGTTCGCTGGCCATCAACATCCCAGTGCACAGACAAGTTGGGCACATCACCTAAATAAGAGCTGACAATTAGCCTCTGCATTCTGAAAACTCAATAAAACATATTGGCAATCTTAGTTTTGTGCATATCCAGTTTACCTTTCCTGAACCAGAGCAGTTTGGACACCTTTCAGTAGTAGGCACTTTCAAAGTCCGACCAGATGTACTAGATAGCGAGATGGGATCAATGCTCAAGCATACACCGCTAGCAGAACATCTTGCACAGGGCAAATATCCTGCTCTTAGGATAGCCGCAGAAAAAGAAAATGAAAATTAATAGAAACTCATATGATTGTACCTTTAGTTATTTTCAGGGAAAGAGGAGAGGGGAAGAGTGCACTGGGGCGTTAGGCAAAAAAAGTACCACTTCAAATAGTCTGAAGGAATAAAATAGAGTTAAAACATCACAAGTAAATCAAAGAAAAGTGCATGTCCTCAGAACAAACTAATACATACCATTTCCATGGCAATATTTGCACCTCTTCTTCTCTTGTTGTTCAACATTGTTGGCTTCAATTAGCATCAAGGCTGAAATGACACCTACTGCCCCCCCTGAAAAGGATGCGACGATGGGATCAACCTGACTGAATCAAGAAACCAATAAGTTGTCAGTGTAACTTTAATTATACAATTCTATAGTCATTTTCACCAAAGCACTAGTTACTCCAGGTTTCAAATTTGCAAATGAAGATAAGCTCAATGAATACCTCAACTGCAATGGCAGATGCATGTTGCGTATGAAATCTTCGTATGAGGTGCCTCCTAAACCTAATTTTAGCTCCAGCTGCCATGAAAAGTTAATTATGATAACAAAACAACCAGTATTTAGAGATAAATCTAGTTAGAACAACCATGATACAAAAATAGTCTCAGTTGGCATTTGGCTCAACTGAGACATTGGTTAGTTGAAGTTAGCCTAGGTGTTAAATCTAACTGATTAATAAACACAGAATCAAGGACCTGTTTCAAATAAAAACACAAATACACATAATTTCAGCCCAGCCTTGGTAACCTTTATTTTGGTCTATAACCCCTTTTCTGTTTCTCATAAGTAAGCAACTAAACTATCGTAACTTAACCACAAAGGACAGCAATGAGTCTACAAATGCTATTACATGTTAGTTAAAGGAAGGAAATGACAACTTAAAAGTATATCTAAGCATGAATACTACAATTTGGAGTTATGGCAAACTAATAATAAAATTAAAAGTATTTAGTACTTACCGTTGGTGCAATAAGACCTCCAAATACAATTATTCCAGATATAAATGCCAGGCTTGTGAAGTAGAGCTGCTTCATCGTCTTTGGTGTCAGCTTCATACGAAAAGGTTAACAAGGTGACTAAAGTCAAAATGCATCACTAACCACAGATCTCAAAAGAGGGTTTTTTTCTTCTTTTAACGCAAGAAATTATGCATGCTATTTCCTACATATATAGCATAGCTTTGTCATAAATGTCTTCCCTGTGTGTGCTTCTACTAATTAAGCGTAAAATGCAAAATAGACAATACATCAGGACCTTAAAACTCACCACATATGAGAAAAAAGGAATTGAAGATGGAATGTCAGGCATCTCATCTATATCTTCATCACCGTTCTCATTGACAACTTTCACTTTCTTTATGCGTTGTTGTATCCGTAATCTCCTTACCTATATACAAATGATTTCATAAGGATAAAACGAATGAGAACAACATCTAAATACATCAATCCAATCCGCCAAGTATAATCTTCTGTTATTTCCATTTTCGACCTGTATTTCATGGACTGATGATAAAATTCCTTGACAAAACTTGCAATAATATCATGCATCTTTAGTAAATTGCTGTAGATGGGGAAACAAGAACACCGAATGGGTTTTGCATATCATATGGGGATTTAGTGCTTCAGATTCCTAGGACAAATCTGTATATTTATGAAACTATCTCATTACCTCTTCCATGAGGAGAAAGATCTTACTGCGCCTACTCCTTATATTATCTTCGATTTCCTGCAGCTGCATCTTCACAAAATCCTGAACAGTCTCCGGTCCCTCAATGATGCAAAAGTTACTGATAAAGCAATAAAAAAAAAAGCATACAAAATTTCAAAATTTTACAATGAAAGCAACCAATAGCAAAAACCAAAAGATAAAGCTGATGATAAAATCAGAAACCTATTTACAAAATCAAGTAATGAACACAGTAGAAACTTAAGAAAATCAATATATCTAAAACATTTAGCACATAAATCTTCAAGTTTTCCACTGCTATGCAATAGATAAGTAATTAGGATTTCTGGGTTTTATTCCCAGAAACTTAAGGAATGTCAGGGGAGTTAAGGAACGAACCTGGGAAGGTTATCACCAGAAGGGGGAGGGTTGCTTTTGGATGAAAAACAGAGGAGTGGAGAAGGAGAAGAGTGTTTAGGTGAAGAGAGGAATTTACGATTTCCATTAAATAAAATTCGGGTTTTAAAATTTGGAGGAGAAGTCGTGGGAAGAAGAAGATGATGATGATGATGAGAGTAGAGATGGAAAGTGCCCATTTCTTTTTTGTTTTTTGTTTTTTTTCAATTTGACAAAGTTTTTGAAGGGATTGTTTTCTTCGAGGGTTTAATGGAACATAAAAATGGACGACGATTGTAATGCCACGACCACGACTCCACGTGTTATTCTTGCTTCGTGTAGTTGTCGTGAGGCGGTTATCCGTTAACATCAGTTTGGCTCTTAAATTGATATATAAATATAAAAAATTTTATTATATTATATTAGCTGATAATAATAATTAAATATTAATTTAAAAAACCTTTTGTATTCAATTTCGATGTATTTTTCCCAATAAAATTAAAATAATTTATGGTAGGAAAATTGTTTCATCTGCTTAATCATTTTATAATTCAAGTCATTCTTTTGATAAAATGATGACTATGAGTTGAAGTCAATATATAAAATTTTGATAATTGTTTATATATAAATTCAACATGAAAATTTATAAAATGGCATCATGAAGGATTACAATGAAGATGTACAGAACTTGAAAACATCAACATTCCATTTTATGGTAGTGGAAATATCATATGAATGATGATAACAAGAAGGAGACAAAAAATAAAACCAAGAAAACAACCACCGGCGGTGAAAACCAACAGCTTTCAGATCCTTGGTAAAGATCAGCAGCCCATACCAAGGCTTCTTTGCTGTATTTCTTTTCCTGGGAAATCGTCACAACGTTTTTCCCTTGTTCAGATAACCTTATGTGAGATAAAATGTGAGGGAAAACTTCTTTAGAAGACTCTTCACCAATCAGCAAATCTGAATGCCCAAAACCATCCACAACAACCCTTTCATGTCTAAAATTAGGTTGATGCAACTTCACATACTTGTTAGCTAGAAAAGAGGTCTCTGGAGTCACAAGAAGACTTCGTCCGCCAGAGACGTATAGCGTTGAGAGGGCCATTCTCTCTGGATGAATCAAATATGAGTTATTTCCCTTGCTATCCACAATGAATCCAGACTTGCAGATTTTCCTAAGGTGAGAAAAGGCGGCCATGGGAAGCTTTGTTGTGCTTTGCTTGTTTAACCAACGGTGTATTGTAGGGGTAACATTTTGATGCCAGAATGTGTTGCCAAATATGCCAGAAAAGACCTCACATTCATTGCAAGTGCATCTCTCATAGCGAGGTATCCAACGGGCTATAGACATTAGAAGCAGATGTCCCAAACTGGCCTTTGATGTCTCTAACAGAGTCAGGATTTTGTTCTTGCCCAGCAAAGCCATTGACATCTGCAGGTTGGCTTGAGTTAGAGGGAAGTATAAGGCTCAAGCAATATCAAGTTGACATTAATTTGCGCAAAACCATATAATTTATTCATAAAAATGAAAACTCACAGGGACCAAGGGAAGCCACATTTTGACTGTGGCTAGAGTAGTAAGCTTGAAGAACATTGAAGAGTTAATGCAGCACAAAGAAGCAATTTGAGTTGTAGAGATATGTCCTCCCATGAGAGCTATGTGAATGGACAAGCCTCCAACACAGTGTGCAACTACATGTATCTTCATGCTTGGACCATGGAATTCGCAGATCTTGTCAATTACTGCAACGAAAAGAAGAAAAGAAGGTTGCCACTCAGAAGTCAATTACATCTGTGAGTATCTGATCTCATCTAGAGCTTTTTGTAATTTTTGTTACCAGCAGGTATGTCATATCTTCCAATATCTTCAATAGTGAAGTTGTTTGAGGGATTTAATGCATGCAATCTTGGTTGGAGTAACCATATTTCATGCCCTTCTGCCAGTAAAGTCCTGATTAAATCATTTGGTTCTGTTGGCAGACAGAAACTCTCAGTGGAATACCCATTAAGTAGAAGAACTGGGTGCTTTTGTTCCTTGAAATTCCATCTACCTTGACCGCAGTTCCACTGCCTACAGCTGATGATACATCCATCTTCTGCATCATATATAGTAAGTAATGAAAATTAAATTTATAACCTGTTCACAGAAAAATAAAATAAAACAAAAAACCAAAAAATCATAATCTTCAGTGTATTATTATTATTTTTTAATCAAACTGACACTGTTTAAGGATCATTTTCCTCACTCGTATCACTTGCAAGTAAGATCCAGTTGTAACTTCTAAGGATCTTTGACAACAAGTTCAGATTCCTGCCTACCTGTTTTTATTTCATGGCAAGTGCTCGCTGGATAAGAATTGTTGTAAGAATCTGTCAGCTCATTTTGACTTTCTTGTGGCATTTGTAAAATATAGGTTCTAAGGAGATTCAATGAGAAAAGCTGAATAAATCTTCCTTTTCCATTTCCTTCAAGTTTCAATAGGCTTTTCAGTAGTTCAATCATGGAAATTTTAAGCTCTCCTTTCAAGTTCAATCCTACATCACCAGCAAAGTAGCCAGCAAGCCTTTTGAAGGTCACGTACAATGTTGTTGTCTCCCTCCAAGAATATAGTGCAAAAAGATAAGGATTCATTATCTTCTTTCCCTCAAGAATATATCTGCATTTGATTAACCTTATAAATTTTCTAGGAAAAAAAAAAAAAGAAAGAGTTAAGAGGAATGCAAATGGATGCCCTATTGTACCTTGAACCAGAGGCAGCAGCAAGGAGAAGGCGGTAATGCATATATCGTGTGTAAGGGGTTCTGTAATCTACTTCAAACATGTCTACTTCCCCATCTATAACGTACAACTTATCCTTCTCAATGGCACTGAAGACAACATAACCACCAACTTTCCCTTTTAAAGTTGGATGAAGTTTTCTCATAATCCAATTCCAATCATCACGGTTGTTATGATTCTGCAAGTATATCTTCATTCTGAGAGAAGCTGTGCATGGCATACCCCCTATATAGCCTCTCATTGTTTCTTTGACAGACACATATGATGTCTCACTGCTCTTTAAATTATCATATCTTTCTGTATATGGATTTTGGTCAACCACTTTAGAAATGCAATCTGTACAACTTTGATTTTTATGCTTGAGAATATCCTTCACAAGGTGCTTACTTACATGCTCAGCAGCTGCTGCAATAGTAAGGCAGGGGTTTACACTGACAGAACATGGAATTAGAGAAGCATCACAAACATAGAGGCCCTGATGCACAAGACCAGGAGCCTCTGGATCAAAAACCTGACCATTTGGATTACAAACACCATCTGAAGAATCTGGTGATGCATTGCACCCACCAAGCAGATGTACTGACGTGCTTCGGTACGTCGACATGAAGAGAATTCCACCTAATTTCTTGGTAATCTTTTGAAAGACCTCAAATTTTCGTGGAAGTAAAGGGTCATGGGGTGGACTGAAGCAAATTTTATTTGTTTCCTTTTCTAATATAATTTTCCCATCACTCTTGTCATGTCCCATTGCGAGGAGCACCATTGCTTGGCTTGACTTAGAACCTAGGAGATGCTTCAGTTTATCTATAATACCATGAAAGAACCAGTAACCAGACGGCCATCCAAATGTAGCAATCCCTTTAAACAACATGCAAGGATAAGCTGTAGGAAATACAGCACTCTGCACCAAAAAAAGGTCAATGAATGAATGAAAGGAGGAGATAAAGAAGAAAGAAAATCTTGTTTCAGAAGAGTCTAGATTACAAATATTCACAAACAGCTCTTTTCCTGATGAAATAAATGAGGTGCCAGTACAAACCAATAAAAATGCCTAACTTGAAACTACCAGTGAAATGACAAGTCAAAAGGGTATGAATAATGATGCAGCCAGTGCATAATTTATTGTTACTGCAAATGAGTGAATAGGGTGTAAACGAACATGTTCACGGACAAGTCAAAAGGCTTTGTTCGTTTACACCATAGAGGGAAACCATTTCTAGATGGTTGTATTGAAACCAATAATGCCCATCTAGACCACATGATCCTACACTCCTGCGGCATTTTTTTATTAGGAAAACCTTTTGCTTTCTCTACAAAGCCAATAAGACAGTCAAGTGCCAGTGCCATGACAGGAGTTAAATTCTAATGCGGAATAAACACAAGTCAAGTTTCTCTGCAAAGCAAAACCTTGAACCTGGATTGTGAAACCCAATGAAGAAGAGTAAGATGAAGAGATGGATGGCCCAGGCCGTGCTTGAATAGGTGTCTTTGACAGTTGCTTTCTGTCTAGTCCATAAGCATTCAAAGGTCCAGTGCTTCCAGCAAGATAAGCAACAGTATTTCCATTACAGCTGAATCCAGACCCAAGTGCCTCCGAGAGTTTTAATCCTCTCATTTGTGATTTGAGAAGTATTGCAGTTGTGCCGAAAACTCCCGCTGTGGAAAATGAAATTTAAGCTTCCAGACGGTTTTGAAAACAAAATTTGAAGGTATATCTAATAATTTCACCATTGCTTTATACCTGACAGGATCACAAAATCAGCTTTTATATTATCGATCTCATTTAAGTAAACAAGCCACCTTCTTTTTCCACCAATTTCACCTTTTTGGGCTGTTTCATATGGATTTTTAACCACATACTGAACTTGACACTCTGTTTTAACAATACATCCTGCCTGCATCACAAAAAGTTCTAATTTTATCTGAAATGAATGAGAATATGGGTACATTTGGACATGATGTTGACTGTTACAGGCTTTTATAAGATATGAAAAAACAAAGTATTATCTATAATGAACCCATTACAAGAATTCAGACTATCATCATCATAAACAATTATCAAGAATCAAGCTTCAGATTCAACAAAGTAAAAACCTTCTAAATAGGCCAGCTGACCTACACTTATTGTCTTTTGGCATGTATTTGAATTGTTCAGCTTGAAAACATAAAAGCAGCTGAATGCATCACAGTCAAGAATAATAATGCAACCAGAGTAAAAAAAAGAAATAAACCTGTTAAACGAAAACAATGTATCAAGTTAAAGAGAATATGCCTGAATTGCTGATGCAAGATAATTTTTGTCAGTAGAATTCTTGGCATTGTAAGGACACCCAGCAAGACAGTTTCCACAGGCTTTGCAGGTATCCAGATTCTGATGCTTCGGTAATCTGGATGGGGAGTCTTCAAGATCAAAATTCATGCTTAACTTTATTGAGTCCTGAACCATTTCTTCTACCTCTCCCACATCTATTTCTTTCATAATTTTGGCAATGGGGAACTGAATGGGAACACTCTGTATTCTCATCATAGTAGCGGCAGAAGCTTCACAACTACCCCAGTCCCATTCCCATTCCTTTGGCCATTTTGAATTTCTTCGAGTTTGAACTGGGGTTGGCAACATTACTCCTGCATTCACTAGTGACCCCCCACCAAGTCCACAAGCCACTGCTGCCAGTGAATCATTTTGTTCATAAACCTATAATTTCATTCATAAATGATCACAATTTTATTCATATTATAGTTAAAGCAAAATATGACTTTAAAATCAGGTTTCAAAGCCACGAAATAACAATGAAAATGACTGTCTGCCCGATGTACAGGTACATAATCTTTCTTTAAAATATCCTCAAATAATTTATGTTGCGTGAAATGGGAGATAGACCTGAAATAAAGCATCCTTTGGGCCAAAGCTGACACCCAAGTTCTGACTCTCCATCCTCACAGCTGACATGATCTTGAAACTGTCTGTTGGAAAATCCTTAGCTTCCCACTTTCGTCCCTTCTCAACCAGGCATACCTTGACTCCTGCCAATGACAACCGACAAGCAGCAACAGAACCACCATATCCAGACCCCACAACAACAGCATCATATCCATCTTCTTCATAAAAAATCATTTGTTTTGAATCTGCTGGTTTCTCCATTTTCTTTGAAACCCAGAACTGAAAGTTTCAGGACCTTCGAATGATATCTATTGGCTTATCTCATGAACAATGAAAAGAACACAAGGAGTACTTCAATTTCATATTCAATTAATTTAAAGAATAAAAACTGAACCTGAGGAAGTAACTAGCTGTAGAATTTTGTTCTTTACCGTATATTTTGTTCAAGGAGAGCTATAACATCATCGTTTCTGCGTGAAGAATCCAAATGCATTCACAATGAGACATTGGAGTTAGGAATATCACCTAGACCTATGCTCATTGGCAATTAATTAAATTTCTTTACAGATTCAAAGAACAAGCAAATGATAGAACATGTTTCTTTCTTGTCAACCAATTTGGAAGTATGTAAATCATTGTAACAGACAAGCATTTTCCACTAGTTGTTAACAGCATATAGAACAGCAGATACCATTGTTGAATTAATCTATTGCGCGGCATTTCCACAAAAAAAAAAAAAAGAAAGCATAAAATTTTTATGTGTATCTTCGAAAGTATGAACATAAAATAAACATGAGACTGGACTAAGATCTATTGATAATGAAGAACTATTAAGTTTATAATATTTCTTTATACTAGAAATAGAGTGTTTAATCTATCTAGGAAAGAGAGAAAAAGGTGGCACGTGGAGGGGGGAGGGTATGGGGAAATAGTGCTACATATCAAACAAAAATCTTGCTCAAACCCTAGCGATTTCAACTGACTTCTGCAGGGCTTGAAGAAGACTTCTCATGATCCTTGGCTCACCAGGGGGAGACTGATCTTTTAAGGGTCCATTTCTTATTGCTCGAAAAATTGGACCTGAACCATCTGTTGCTGGGAAGACTAAGCAATCTATATACACCAGAACTTCAGTCTTTCCATCTCCAATTGTAATAAAACCAAGTCTAGCTCCGCCTGGTATTTTATCTATCTGTATGAACAAAAGTGAAGGAACATTTAAGGCCATTAAGAGTTATTACTTCATTGTCCCTCTCATGCGTTGTATTTTTTTCTCAAACAGAGCAATAAGCAAACAATATCCAATAAGAATCCCCAAGTTCAGAATAATGTCATAAATTAATATGTACTAGTTAAAGTAATCCATAAATATAATGATCCACTAAAATGGATAAGACTCAAGGCAAATGCAAGGCTTATGCACCAATATGATATAGTTAGGTCAACAAATATAATGTTCCACCTAAAATCTTCCAGGTCTTGCGCAAATATACAAATACATGCAGATGAACTTTTAACTAAGGTCAGTAGTCTGTGTCACCTAGGATGATCTTATTTATACATGGTTTTGATGGATATGAGCCGATGGCTACTGGTGAATATACAAAATCCCATGAACATATGTATATGGCCAATTGTCTAAAACTTTAAGGTAACATGAATTCTAATGACAAACCTTCAAAGGTACAGGAAGTGGCAGGTTAGCTCCTTGGCACAGGCTATTCGCCCACTGTACAGAAACAAAGAAAAAAAAATAGGCAAAAATCAAACACTCTGATAGAACAGGCAACTTAGCGGGAATTGAGATTTAAAGACACATCTTAAAGCATGAAGTTGGAGGTTTCTGTTTAACTTTTTTTATAGCGTTACTTTCCAATCTGTTTCTTGTTAGTTTTAATATGTTTTTCAGCTTTTGCTTTCTGTCTGCGGTCAGCTTGTATAATTTGGCAGCTTGTATAGTATGTAGCAGAAATTGCAGCTGCTCTTGCCGGCTGGATCAAGATTCTCTAGGATTCCTTATCAGGGACAAATATTTTAACTTATTCCGGCTGGATAAGATTCTCTAGGATTACTTATCAAGGACAAATATTTTAACTTAATTTATTAAATTTTTTATTGAAATACAAATTAATATAAAAACTTCCAAATAAAATTAATGCGTATAATAATTTTTTATATCATAAATACAATATTTACATCGCTAAAATTAATTATATAATTATTGGCTAATACAACTTAAGCATCGCATACACATACACATATACATATAAATATGTATATATATTAATTTAATAAAATTTTATAGACTTATAGAATTCTTAAAGACAGATATAACATGTGAAAAAATAAAAATTAAAAATGTTCAATTTTATCATCTACATATTTCTTATTCATTATAACATTAAAAATAACAAATACCTATTTCCTTATATATAATGAAAACAACATTTTCTTACATGCAATGAAAACAAGGAAGACGTGTTAGTAAAAGATTTTTTTTATTTTTTATTTTTATTAATTCACACTTTATATGTTATTATATGTATTCTAAAAGTTCTTTATTTATTTTCTTACAAAATTAATATATATTGTAATGAAATTGCTTACCACCCAAAGTATAAATATTTAATTTTTTAAAAATAAATTGTGCAAGATAAATAATAAAAAATTTTCTTATTATGAACCTCAATTAGTGGGGCAGCTGCCCCCAAAACCCCTTACGTAGATCCGTCCCTGGTTCCGGAAGGTAATCTTTATTTATCGAAGAACACGGGTAACTGATAAAAATTTGCAACGTGATTTAATGAGTTCCTTTTGTTGCATCACTTCGAAAACATTGAAAGAAAGTGGACAGAAACATCATTGTTAGGAAGAACCGGAAAAAGGTCAATAATTCAGCCAAAAAAAAAAAAACTCAACTCTTTCATAATTTTATCATCATAAAATTTTAAAAATAGTACTACTAAATTCCAGCCTTTTCTCTTCACATTTCAGTTTTTTTTTTTTATTTATAAATAAAATTATTTAATTATCCTTTCTCTTGCATATAAATTTTAAAAATAAATTTTCGAAAAATTATAAATCTTTTTGAAAATGAATTTATAAAAAATCATATAATTTTTCAAAAATTTATTTTTTGAAAATTATAAATTTTTTCAAAAATAAATTTTTGAAAAGTTCAATTTTCGAAACGATTTGACTTTTAGAAAAAATTATGACTTTTTCAAAAATTTATTTTCAAAAAATCATAAATCTTTGTAAAGTTATGAGCAATATAATTAAATAATTTTAATTACAAAATTTTTAAAAAAAAATGAAATGTGAAGAAAAAAATGGGATATATTTAACGGCACTCTTTAAAAAAAAACTAATTTTGATCTTTTTATTATTATTTTTGCAATCAAATTATGGAAAAAGAAAATATACCCTTCTAGAAGGAAGGCTTGTCGTTAACAGCCAGACGCCAAAGCCAACCAAGCTATTCCAGTTTTGTTGACATAAGAAGCGTATAAAGTTTTATAAAATTAAATTAAATCAACAAATGCTCGTAGAAAATGCGAACTACCTGAAACAGCAAGGTTTCAAATCTCTGAAGATCAGTATTGGAAGGCAATCTCATGGTACCAAGCGATACTCCATCTTCTGGGTCATCGGCAGCAGGCATAATGTCATCCTTTCCTGGGGAGGCCTTGCCCACTAACTTTACAATCAGGTTTCGGTGACGGTGGCCGTAATATCCACTCAGCTTCGACGACCGTTGCTTTTTGTCCTTGACGAATACTACAGGCAATGAGGAAATACCCCTCGCCATTGGGTAAGAGAGTTGCACAGGCGGAATGGCGCCAGAAGCGTGGAGGGGCTGCCTCAAAGCGCTGGCCATTAGAGAAGTTTGAAAAGAGAAGTGCCCAAGAGAAATTCGGATAAGAATAAAGATACATGTAGTGGTTTTTTTTTTTTTCTTCTCTTTTGGGTAAAGCATTTAAGAGGTGGAGAGTGGCTCATCAAGTCATCATCATATTCCTGCATGACATGATATGTCAGCATAATAACATTGCAATTGTCCAGTTTTCTCTTTTTCCAATTTCACTCGCGGTTAAAAAACAATTTCTCTACCTCCACTCTACTTTGCAAGATCAATCCCATTCACAAGGAAGAGAAATCCAGTTCCATATCAGAAAAAGGTTAAAAAAACATGAACCGATTCAGTAATTCGCACTGTAAATCTAACTGTAACTATGAAAAGAAGGATGAATTACACGTGAAACGTTTTTTTTCTTTTTTCTCAGTTTGTTCTATGAAAGATTTGATCATTGACTCACATTCACTCAGTTTAGAATTTGTACGAGTAAAACCTAGTCAATGCATCGAAAACAACCATAACTCGTACAACATGGAATGGCACATAGCAAGCGCTACCCTGCCATTCCTTAAATCTCATAACCACCCAGGTAAGCAATATGTTTGATGATGAATGATTACTATTCCTTCATTCATTACGCAGAGGAGCAAGCTTCAAGCTTAGGAAGGAGACTTCGCCAGGCATCTGCAGTGCTATTTGCCAATCGAGCCTGCCCCTTTGCAAATTCATGAAAAGCAATCCCCATGTCTTGTGTTTTCTGTTCCTGAAAACGTACTATCTCTTCATTCATCAGTCGCACAATTGTCTCAAATCTTCTTGTCGCCTCCTCACTCTCTGCCTTCAACTGCAATCAACTTATGTTAGCAGAGACAAAAGCAATAAGAGCTCAATAAGAATACAGTGAAAGCTTGGATAAATGACATGCCTCCTTGTACTCATGCTCAGCTTCTCCCACCCTATCAGAGCGTGTTAGCATGAGCTTGTCACTGCAAACAATACACAATCTCAAATTATAAACCCAATTAGGAAATAAAACTTGTAAAGGTCAAAATAAGCTGATTGTTTGCAATACCAAAGCATCATGCAAAGCGGCAACAGCTAATAGCAACATTAGATAGCAAAAAAAAGGGGGAAAAAAGGCATAAAATATGGATGACCAGAAGCATACAGATTTATCTCCTTCAATTTTATTGTTTCAGCTAGTTCACACTGTTGCCTGAATGCATTAGCTCTCTCTCCTATTGTGGCCTGTTATGAAACACAAATGCAAGAGGATCATTTATGAAATTGTCATAAACCTTCCACTTCAATGTTATCAGCACATAAGATGAAAAGGGAGCTCGGGTTGGAAGAAGTATTTCCATCAATAATTCCACAATATCATTACTTACCCAGTTAATTATTTTCAGTATTATAGGTAAAACAAATAATTCATTATTTTCTTCAAGGAAAACTATTCTTGCTATTACAAAAGACAGCAGCCCAACTCACCTTTATTGACTGAACAGCACGAACATAATCCTTCAAGGGTTCTTCAAAATTCATCAAGAGTTGATGGGCCTGCAGTTAATTCAAATATTGTGAAAATGAAATGTCACCCATATGAACCACTTACCATAGAAAAGTTTGGGCATCACATACTAGGCCACAATCATGCATGCCTTCAAGGCTACAAAACAAACTACCAAAGGAAAAGGCTCAGCCTTAAAAGAGAACCTACCTCCCTCTGCAGCTTAACTGATAACGTCTCAGATTTAGCCCCGAGTTCGGAAAATGCCTTTCCAAGAGCTTGTTCTTCACAAGCACCAAGAAGCTTGGCTGCCTTACCAAAATCCGATAGTGATTGCCCCAACTCTGAGAAAAGACAGAAATATTTGTTCAATCGTATTCAAACCAAAAGGAGATAACCACTGAGAAAGATATAAACAAGAAGCATAAAGTGTTCAGAGCCTCAAAATCCTCATTACCTCTGTGTCTCTTTACAAGACGATATGCATGCTTCTGAGCTTCAGCCAAATGATTTTCAAGCTCAAAAATGTAGTGTTTAAGCTTCTCATATTCAGGATTTGATTCTTCAACAGGTTTTTCCTTTCCAAGAACAACATCGCTCACCTTAGTCTGTACATCCTGTTAAATTTATAGACAAGTTAATGCAAGGTTAAATAACATAATAATTTCAATACAATAAACATTGCATATTCAAGCCTGAGAAACCAGCTTCAATAGAATGAAACATAAAATCAGCCAAATATTACACAATAAAGCGGTAAAAGAGGGATATCAAGTACTTATAAAAGCAGGTACTAATTTCCCTATGAGATTCAGATAAGAAGCAACAAGTTACCTATGACAGATTTAAAAGTTCTGTTAGAGGTCTTCTTACCTAAAATCGTGGGTCAAATAACCATGTTAAATTTGTAGGAGGAATTTATTAACATGTTATGGAAAGAACTATTGTTTTTACTTATTCACCAATCAAATTATCTACCAGAGAAGAAATATTCAAGTAAAAGTTTTTGGACATCTCATTAATCAGTAGACATTTTATTTGCATCAGTCCACCATATTGTAATTCCACTGACATCCTAACAAATTATCAAAGTCCTGAAGAACTTATTTACCTTGAACATTTGCATCAAATCAGCTGGCTTCTTAAAAATACCAGTCTCTTGAGATCTCAGTCTCTCCATTGTCTGAAAAGTAACCAAAGTTAACATCAAATTTTTATCCTCAAAAAAAATATCAAATACACAAAATTGGAACATAAAAGTGGTCAGAAATTTGTGAAATTTGTCACCAATTGTCCAGAGTACAAGATAATTTACATTTGTAAGCATGACTAGTTCCAGCATGAACAAGTAGACAGGTGCTTGCTCAAGCAACTAAAATCATAATGCTTCCTTATCAACATATATTACCGAAAAGAATCCTTAATGCAGCACAGTCCTGGATGGAGTAAGAGTGCTGGTCTCTTGGATAACAGTTCTTGTAGAAATGCAAATCAAATGTGTCCAAGGGAATCAAAGAGCTGAACATTGTATTGAAGAAAAAAATGAACAATTTTCTTATCCCCCCCTTCAAAGAAATTTTTTAAATGTATAATTTATCAAGACAATTTTGTATTATAACGGTACAATGTTCCTTTCACTGGGCAATTTTTTAGAACAGTAGGCTCCATATTTATATTTAATAATAAGCTTATGAACCTTAAATGCAAATTCACAATTAGCTATAACACTCAACATAAGAAAAATCCTAAAGGGACGATCTGATTATTATAAATTGAACATGAACAAAAAAAAAAAAAAAAAGAAACACCACTCGATGCAACAAACCCTAAATGCATCACCTCCTCATCTGCCTGCAGAAAAGTTCTAAGATCATCACTCTGTTGAAGCTCATTATGAGAAGCAATCCGATTAACAAACACATCCAATGCTTGACGTCTCATCTCAATAAATTCAGCACTAAATCGAAACTTCTCTGCAACAGCCATAACAAAAACTTATATTATTACTTCATAGTTCATACACAAGCCTACACATTTAACCACAGATGCATTCAAAATTACTCAAAAACAAGCAATATTACAATCGAAAACGCATTGATCATAAAATCATTGCTATAAAACAATCAAAATTAAGGAAAAATAATTAAAAAATGTTGAATTTGTTTACCTACAGCGCTCTTCTCGGGAAGAGGAGGAATGAAAATGCCTTTGTACTTCTCGAAAAGGCGATCACGTAACCAAACAAAGTCACTGTAACGCCTAATAACAATCTTTTCCGGCCCTTGGTATTCTGGGAAATTGGTCTGTCCAAACATTGGAATTTCCCCCAAAAAAATCCAAAATTTTTATTAGCAACAAAAAAAAATAAAAAGAAAGAAAGAGGAAATCATTTTGGTTATTAGCAACGATTACCTTGGTGATGACACGATAGGATATGTAAGCTTGGACGCCATTGCCTAATTTAACGGGATCCGTAACGGAAACTGATAGAAACGGCTGCGACGATGGAGATCTAGGGCTTTGCGACGATCCCGATAAGCTTCTTTGCTGCTCCATTTTTCACACGACCACAAAAAATAATAATCATAATAATAATAATAACAATCCAAAAGCCGAAAATCAAACAAAAAAGACGAAGGGTAAGTAATGGCAGAGCTGTAATTACCGCAATAATCATGGTTTATTCAGAATCCTGGAGTCCGGTGAATGCAGAGGCGTCTTCGTTTTTTTTGGTTCCGCGGTGGTTTATGGGCCAAGAATTGAGATGCGTGAAGAGAAAGAGAGTACTGAGGTCCCCCGTCAACACTCGGCAAGCTATCTCAGAGCCTGGCTCGAGACCAGAGGTTCGAACTTTAGATCAATCTCTGTTTTTCTCCGTGGGGGTTAAAGATATTTTCGTTACTGCTATTATTTTATTTTTATAAACAAATAAATTAAAAATATTAATAAAATGGAGTTTAATTTTCGCCTAAAATTGATTTTATATAGATGAGTTTAAATATATAGTCGTAGGAGGTAATTCTTATAAAAAAAAATAGTAGGAGATAATTTTTACTAGAGAATGTTAATAAGTGGGAGTGTCAAAATTCGATTTTAAATGAATTAATCAATTAAATGATTTAATTTAGTTAATTAATTTATTATTCAGTTAATTTTAGTTAATTATTAAAAATAATTTTAAAATTTTTAATTAATTTAATTTAAAAATTAAATTAATCAAAATTTTAATCAAAATACAATAAATTATATATATATATAATTATATATATATTAAATTGCTCATTTCATTTTATGTTTTTAAATTTTTTAACTTAATACTTTAATATTTAAATATTTTTATCTGTTAATTTTATTTAATTTATTTTAAATGTAAATTTTAAAATATAATTTATTTTAATATTTTTTATAATATGAATAATAAAAAATATTAATCCAATTAAAATAATTAATTTTGATAGATTAATTTTTAAAATTATTAAAAATCAAATTTTAATCTTTCTAGAATCAACCTCGTGGGTGAATCATTTGAATTTGGACCAACTTATAGTTTCTTTATTTGAAGCAACGAACAAATATTTAGAAAGAAAATGAAAAAAAAACTAGTAATTTGTTTAGAGAACTTTGACCATCAAAGTATACCAACATCAAACAAATCTTAAATGGGAGAGCATCTTAATTTCTTATCTAATTATTGAGATTAACATGCATATCTAATATCCTCCATTTATTTACTACTACAATAATAATGAAGAGGAATTAATGTCAAACTAAGAATAAAAATTAGTGATTAGCAAGAAGCATTGGACCATAATGGACCCAACTGTGACCATAATGGACCCAACTGTAGGCGATAGTCACCACGTTTTCACCCATTTTTCCAGATAAGGCCTTGATAATTGGCTTGTTTAGCCACGTGGTTCCCAAAAAAATACCAGCGGCCTCGTCACCACTTGAAAACGACCCAATGGGCCCCACTCCCACTTAAATCCAAACCCAAGCCTAAGCTCAAAACACCTCTCTTTCTTTTTTTTTTTTTTATTAGTCCTCCTTATTCCTCCACTCCGCCATATTTTCTGAAATGGTTCGCTGATCATCCTATAATGGATCGCTTCATCGGTGGCACCTCCGCGTCCTCCAACGACGGCGACGAACTCACCGAGGACGATATTTTCTGGACCACCACCGACTTCACCGAACGAAACCACACCCAATCGCCTTCCACCGCCACAACCAATTCCCACAGTCGCCGCCCGTCTTTTTCGCAGAGTTCCGGAATCCTCGCTGCATTGCTAGAGCCAAATCACTACCAAATCCTCTATAGAAAACCGATAATTCCTTCTTCGTCATCAACCGTCAAGGTGGGACCAACGATCCCTCGGGCAACGTCGCAGGAAAGGGAATATTCTAGAAAATTGCAGCAGCAACAGTCGGCACCGGTGAACGTGCCGCTACTGTCGGTTGCGGTGGCGAGGGAAAGGAATAAGAAGTTTCTGGAAGTTGATTATTACGATGAGGATGGAGAGCAGGAGATGCTGCCACCGCATGAAATCGTGGCCAGGGGTTCGGGAGTGTCACCGAAGACAACTTTCTCAGTGCTTGAAGGCGTAGGGAGGACTTTGAAAGGAAGAGATCTTAGGCAGGTCAGAAATGCAATTTGGCGAAAAACTGGGTTTCTTGATTAAATTTTAGTATTTTTTTTTTCATTTTTAATTTATGGGTTTTTGAATTTTGCTAAAGAACTATATTTAAAATTATATATTATTATTTACATATACCATTGAAGGTTACTTGTGTGGTGGAAACATGAAACTGAAACTCAAAGCCTCCATCTAATATTTAATGGTTAATTGTTAATAATTGTGTGGTGCAAAACAAATTTGGTTTTTTGATTCTGAAATTTTTAAGGTGTTTCTATGTTATTGATATGGACAGAAACATAGAAAATTTGGAAAACTGAACTTGGGAATGGATTATTGCTGATTAGACGATGGCCGCAACATGTTATTAGGTCAGCCATACAGAAACATAGAAAATTTGGAAATTTAGGGAATGGATTATTGTTTATTAAACAATGGCCACAGCATGATGGATTATTGTTTATTAAACAATGGCCACAACATGTTATTAGGTCAGCCTTACAGAAACATAGAAAATTTGAAAATTTAGGGAATGGATTATTGTTGATTAATCAGTGGCCACAACATGTTGTTAGGTCAGCATACTTATTATCTTCGGTTTTTTTATTTTTATTTTTTTTGTTGTTTTCTGTGAAACAGATTGATCTTTAGTAGTATTTAATCAACGTGAAGACATGAACATTAAATGTTTTCTTATTCAATTATAGGGCAATTTGTTTTGGAGTTTATATTCTATGAAATAAGGACAGACCCTTCTTCATTTGAATATGGAGTTTTTTTGCATGCTAAAGTTGTTTGAAATCTTATTTCCTAAAATCGATTACTTTAAAACTTTATCCTTCCCCTCTTTCTCCTCTGTATAGCAGGATACAAATAAATTAATCAATTAACAATATAACATAAACAGGAACAAATCGAACAAGCAGTCGTGAAATATTAGAAAAATAACAAAATTTTGTTATTATCACAGAAACAAAATCTATGAGGGACTGGAGATGTGTTATGGGGTATGTATCATGGTGTCATGCTTGTACAAATTATGGGTAACAAGAATTAAGTATAGAAACTGACTCTGCCTCTTCAGTTTCCTTAATCACTAAAAGCATCTCCAACAGTCGCCCATATCTTGTCATCTTAATATCACCAAAGCGATTAGAGAAACCATGCACAATAATAAAGAATTGATGTTGAATTACAGTTCTAAGACAAGAATTTTGCAAACGGATTAGTTGGCAAAGAATTGCAATGAACAAGACAGCGGAGTGCAATTTTACTTCAAGCCCACCTACAGATCTTTGCCAAATTCTTTAACTGATATTGTAGGAGTTGCATAATTGCATTCCTCGTCTTATTAAAGATTTTTTTTTCTATTTTTCTCCTTTCCCTTCCACCAAAAGCATAGTTTGTGCTTTTTTTTATCATGTGTCATTTGTTGATAACATAGATTTGACATGGATAAATGTATCGTATTTTGAGAATTAAGTTTAAAGTTTCCTTATTGAGAAATAGGATTAAAGAGCACCTTCCATTAGGTAAAAAGTCTTTCAATACGTGGAGGATTTCTATGGCGACAGCATTATGAGGATCGATCTTGTCATTAGATAATACTCGCAACACGTGTGTGAGGATCGATCTTGTCATAAAACGACATCCATGACACGGTGAAAAAGATTTAGCTGTGGATCTGTATTCACAGGGTGGTGGGAGGGATCGAAAGGACCCTTCTCCTAATTTAATCAAATAACTCGGTTCAGCTTTACGACTTTAGGCTTTAGGCAGCTTCATTTTATGTAAATTGGTGCTTGACAGCTTGAGTTTCAATATTCCATGTGATTTACCTAATGGATTTTCAAAGACGTTCCAAAGCCAAACTCATTTTGTGGAGTTAATTATAAATGCAAGTTCTATGGGGGCAAAGCGTGAAGCTTCTGAATGGAGCCCCAATTCAAGTTTTCAGGTCAAAACAGGATCTCAAAATTTATCTATATTACAGCAGTTTCGTCTTCTTCTTCTTGAAGCTTATTACTACAAGATTTCAAAGTCAAAAACATTACAAAGACAGCAGCAATATGAAAGAGAAAATTCTTCGACAAGTAGTAAGTAAAAATGTGGATCACAATGGCAAGTCAGACAAACTATAGTGCCTCAAAAGTTTGAATTCAAAATGGAAAAGAAATTCAATTCCCATTCACACATCTAATTGATTCATCACTCTTGCCATTACCACCTTTCCAACTTTTAAAACCAAAACCATAAAAAAAAAAAATCAAATTAATAACTTTGATCCTTATCAGATTGTCTCCCACCTAAAGTAATTAAGACATCTAAAAATTGTCAATTGGAGTTTGAACTTCCTTATACATAGCTGAAACCACAGAAAGAACAAAATTAGTACAAAACTAATTTATGCTTTAAGGGTTCCAAAATATGAGAAAAAGCTACAAACCCAACACAAGAAATGCCTCAACAACAAAAACCCAGGTGGAAAAAAAAGGGAAATCTAAAGAGGAAAACCCTCAAGAGAAACCCAGGAAAAGTTTACTATTGCGCAGCAATGACTCGAATCGCTTCCGTGGTTTTCAACAGAGAGCCGATCTTAAGGGCTGCGCTTTTAACTTACCAAATTTCAAAACAAAAGGGCGAAACCAAAATGCAAAATCTAAGTACGAAAGCCGAGAATGGCGAAAATGAATCTAAACCCTCTTTCAAATTGAACAGCTAAGAAACAGCAGACCAGAAAGGAGATATTTATAGCCATTTTTTCTTTAAACTTAGGGTATGAAGATTTTGGGCTGGTCCTTGGACTCCGACGGGCCTCACTGAGAGGATGCTTGGGTTTTGTTTGATTCAATAGCGGGCTTCTTCATTGCTAACCGAATACACTGATGCGTTGGATCATATGATTGCGGAAGACTAAGGCCCACTTTATCATTGTTGCTGAGGAATGAAAAAGTTTTATTTGAAAAAACATGTTTAAAAGTATTATTAGAAAAAAAAGGCTTAAAATTTTTAAGTATTTATTATTATTGTAAAAAAATGCTATTGAAATATTGAAATGTGAAATCAAATTTTTCATTATTTAGTATTGAGGTTGCAATAGAAACCAATTTTTTAACCAAAAACAGTTTTTGACCTCAGCAATAAACAAAATTACTTTCTTATTCATTCCATTATATCTTATCCTTAGTTGAATTTTATATACCTTTATCAGATTATAAATATATTATATATTTATCTTGTTTTTAATTTTTAATTTTTATTTATCTTGTTCATCCTGTCATTTTTAATTTTGTACTATAAACATCATACAATTCAATAGATAGCCAAACCTTTTTTCTGTCAATTCTATTATTATCCAAACTATTTTAAATGTTATTTTTAAGTAACTCGTTCGTATCATTAGTGAACTTTATTAATTTTATTGATTTTTATTTTTATTTAATATATTTTAATGATAACTTAAAAGCCCTAACTTAGATTCTCTGTCTTATTGTTAGGCTAACTTTCTTTTTTTTTTTTTTGATTTGCCATGAAAATTGTCATGTTGTGTAACCCTAATTAGTACCATATATGCTTGGGCTCAAAGGATCAGTAAAAATTAATTTGAATCGATTATATATTTTGAAATTGAGTGAATTTGATTGATTTGGTTTGATTTATTTAGTTTTGATTATATGAATTGATTAAATTGATTAATTCGATCAATTTTTTGTTCTTAAAATTAATAATTAAACTAATTAAATTAATTGGCTTTTTAATAATTAAAAGTAAAAAATTGAGATGATAATTTTTATTTTAAAATATTATTTAAATTATTAAATTTTTTAATAATTTAATTTAAATTATACTTGAATTTAAATTTTATTAAATTAAATTTATAATTAAATAATTATTTATAATAAAATAAAAAATAAAAAATTTGATTATTTAATCGAATTAATTTTATTTAGTTTCATTATAATCAATTTAATTTTTTATTAAATAAAAATTAATTAATTAAATTATTGATTTTTTCAAATAAATCAATTACTTTTACAAAAAAACTCAGAACATGAATTCTTGTTCAAGGTCGTTTCGCCGTAATTGACAGGCACACCACACCGCACGCGTATTCTATACGTTTTAGTTAAAATTACCCTTTTCAAATTTGCTTAATCTTTCCAACAATATCGCGTGGGGATCGAAATTTCATGACCCACCACAAGACCAGACGTCCAGACCAAAACAAAATCACTGTCCAATTAGTTTTGTCAAGTTTATGTTGACTTGTTTTGACTTCATTCTTCCATTTTCTGTCCAACCTTTTCGTACGTGTATCCCCCCAGCACAGAAATGTACCAATTTGGGCCTCTGCTTATTCTTTGGGAATGACTTCACTGAATTTTTCTATAGGATTCGATCGAGAAGTGGCAATGATATTTTTGTCATTACAGGCGACTATGGTGGGAGGATGGTTTGTCCCTGCGGATTCACATCACATACAATTCTCTTTATTATAATATTATAATTAATTATAATTAAAAACTATATAAAACTTTATTTTTTAAAAGTATAGGTCTATATTATTTTAAATACACCTAACGTAATATTAAATTATAATTGATTAATTATATTATAATAATTATAAACGATATATTTATTGTTTATATATGCTTTATTAATTCCACTTGACTTTGGTTAAGAGGTATAAACCTAACTTTTATAAAGAGTAGTACGAGAGTAGGGTTATTCTAAAAATGAATATTATTAAAGTTATATTAAAAACAGTATTTTATGTAAAACTAAGTTAAAACAGTATTTTATGTAAAAAAAAATGTGAAAAAATTATTTGATAATAATTTTGTATATTTTTAATAAATAAAATAATCAAATAGTCAAATTTCATCACAAGTTTTTAGGTAAAAAATAAATAAAATAAAGAGACATTTTTGTTAATTATAATAGAAAAACAAATGGATTTGTAGAAAATGAACAAAAATAAAAAAATAATGTAAAATACTATAATTTTCCTTATAATTTTCTAAATTATTTTAGAACAACTTAAGAATGTAAAAAAAATCATTAAATACTTATTATTATTCAATTAGCATTTCTGAAAAAGTTTTGATTTATAATTTTACTTAAAAACTCCAACATGCTTTTAGTATAATAAATTAAAATTTTTAAAATTTTGAGAATCAAATACTTGTAAACTTTTACAGTAAATAAATTATTTTATAAACTTAGTCAAACTCTCAAGTAAACTTTTAAATTCGAGTTAAAATTCAAATGATAATTACACTTGAAATTAAAAAATATTTCAAATGATAAACGGTAAATATAATTATAGCTCGGAGTAAGCCATATGTCTACCATTTTTCAACTTGATGTTTCGCATTTGTTAATTAATTTCTTCATCTAGAATATAATTAATTGTATGACAGTTAGACTACTATTGTTAATGTCGTTTCCGGTCATCGTCATCGTTGTTGTTGTTAGCATACTGAATTGAATCATGAACAATCGATTTCAATGCCCAAAAGACAAAAACAAGAAAACAAGAAAAAAATTGATCAAACTCCACCTATTCCTTCCACCATATTCCACTTCGAAACTTTCCAATAAAGTGCAATGTGAATGTACTAATTTTTCTTTATGTTTTTTCCGTGTGCCCTAATAATATCTATGGCAATCTAATCCTAAATAATAATAATAATAATATCCGAACATATGATTCAATGATATATATAAAAATACATATATAAATTTTAGTCAATTTCATCGTTAAAAATTCTAATATTTGACAAATACCATACCTTTTCCAAAAATTTAGTACAAATAAAAGAAATTCTTCGAATTCATACGTAATTCAACCAAACAAAAGAGGATCAACCTATAGATTAAGCCGACTTAGTCTTCTTTGTCTTTTTTTTCCTCGTACATAAATGTGACTAAATTTAGCTGGTCCAATAGACTTTTAGTCAACTTTTTTTTTTGAGAACGATGGTATATACATATGCAATACTTTAAAGTCACTGCTGGTGTTTTCTTCGTAATCAGAATTGTATATCAATTGCTTAATTTTGAGCTAGTATTGACATAGTTTTAGTTTTACATGTAATTGTTAGACCCAATTAATATTCCACCGATCGAGCTAAAGGTTCAAGATAAAATTAAATCTATGAAGAAACTTCGTCGAAGAAGTTAATTTGAAATATTGATTTATGGGTTTTAATCGTTAACAATGCTTATGGGCCTATGATACTATTTGGTCAAGAAATTTTTTTTCATTTAATGCAGTATTTTTGTTTAATTCAAAGAAAAACAATGTGTTAATTACGAAAATTTTATTATAAAGTATTATCTTAGTTAATTATTGTCAATATAAATCCAGTAGACTTTGGTTTTTTTTTTTTTTTTTTAATTTAGAGAATTACTTATTATAAATGTACCATCCATCAAAAGAAAAAGCCAAATTAAATAAAAATGATAAAAATGAGTCAATAAATAATATTAGCTTTATGCAATTCTGTTTTAATTTCCATCATTTAAAGTAAAAAAAATTAATGCTTAATTTTTTTGGCAAAAAATGTAAAATTAATGTCAAAGAGTATTCATAAAATATTATTGATATTGAATTTAAATTTTAAGATGTAACATTCAATAAATTTAAGATTTAAATCATAATTTTTTTTAAAATTTCAAATCGCAATCTTTTTTATTAAAAAAATAAAATAATGATATGGAATGCCTATGACTGCAATAGAGGAATGATGAGTAACTTAATTGATCAAGTGGTCAGCTTGAATTGCCCGACTGCCTCGTCATATACTTGGTCCAGATTGACCTAATGATGTGAAGTCTTTGTGCAGGAATCCACAAATTTTGGTTAATTAATGTATGGTTGAATTTTAAGGTTTTTTTTTTTTTTGGTAAGAAAAATTAGGGGTAGAAAGATTGTTTAGTCTTCAAAATTAAAATAAGATGTGTCGTGTAAGTGACTTCAAATTATACATTCGAGATGATTTTAATAAATGCATTCATATTTACGGTTTTGGTGCAATGAAATAGAAAATCTCACCTTATAAATTAGGTTATGATATTGGGCATATCAAAGTGAATAAATTCAAAAAGTTAATTTTACATTTACCCTTGTTCATTTCTCCCCTTAATATTATTTTTTCCTGGTAAATATATACTATGACATTTTCTGATCATCATTTCGATTTTAATTAAGGAAAAATAAGAGAATTCGAAACCATTCCTGAATATAAAGAATACATACACTTAACATTGAATCAAATGTTCTTATGCTTTTACGATTGATTCAAAAGTCGTGAGAATTAATATCAAATTTTCGGGTTTCTTTATTGTTCAGCGAGAACCAGCTGAGTTGACTAATATTATTCCACCATGACTATTTCTTTTCTTTCATATATAACTTTATGATTGTTAACTTCATATTAGCCAAAAAAAAAAAAAAAAACCTTTACCTAGCTGTTCAACTATCTCAATGTTCTAATATTAATTTAGTGCATTTTTCATGTTAATTTCTACAACTCAAAGAGTTAGGCTTGGAAAATATAATTGCGTACGCTCTTTCCAGCTCAAGAAATTCGATTAAATTCCATTTCGTTCAAAATTGTAAACTAACAAAGTTACAAGGGAAAGAGTAGTACAATTTGCATCCAAAGTCGTCTAAAGTTATATATACGCATGCTAGCAGTTTCATTGTTAAAATTAGATCCATTTGTAGGGCAAACGAGTCTCGTGAGTCTAATTCGATTTGGCTCATGCGTTGAATAAAAATTTTCTAAGTTGAAGTCAGATAAAATATTATTTTAGTATTTTTGGTAAATTATTACTTTTATTTAATTGTAATTATAAAACATATTTAAAATAATTAAAATGTTAATTATATAAATTTCTTTTAATATTTTGATAATATGTTTAATATAAAACGAATTTGATGGGCAAGTTGAAATTGGACTTGACATTTAGAAGTATGAACTAAGTTTCATCCTGTCCACACCACAAACACTTCTAATTAGAGGATATAATAATTTGTTATCACAATTGCTTACTCTATTAATAGAATGCTTCCAAAGAAGGGAAGATAGGTTTAGCTAATTAAGCTAAGAAACAAGATTAATTATAAAATCAAAGATTAATTGGTTAATTAATTAAAGAATTATATCATGCTTTAATAATCATATGCCTTTCTTTCCTAGAAAGATAAATCAAAAGTGAAATGGACTTCAAAGAGCAAAGCAGAAAGTGTTTGCCTTTAAAAGAGAAAAAAAAAAAAAAAACAGGATAGAATAGAAAAGAAAAAAAAAGTACAATGATTCATAGCGCGTCTCTCCACAGTGTTTGAACTTTCAATAGACTAAGACACAATTAGAAATATTTAAAACAACTATTCTTAGCCGTTTGATTTTTTTTTGTAACTGATTTTATAAATTTTTTATAAAAGAAGCCAAAGATAAAAAAAAAAAATTTCAATATTAAAATTTGAACCTCATACCATCTCCTAAAATAATTATATGCTAATCTTCATTTTTTTTTCATTATTTATTTGGGATTTAAGTTAGAATTGTTATAACAATCATTAAAGAAATTGTTAGGTGTTTTTTAAAGATATTTTAGACTTTATTTTGATGCCAATGATATTAGTTTTAATGTAATTAATTTGTATCGACGTATCACTTAAAAATTAATTAGAGTAATTCTAAAATTATATGAAAAAAAGTTTGTATTTCCTAATTACATAAAAATCAAGTATTAAACATCTATAAATTGAAATAATTATATATTTAAATTCAATAAATTTATATCGTTATTTTAGAAAAAAATATCATTTAACAAATTCAAAATTCAAAATACATTGCATGCAATCTTTTTATTTATCTCCAAGGATCCAAGTTAAGATTTTTTTTTGTATAAAAAAATAATTAAATATTTAAAGTTACTTTTTTCTTTAAAAAACTCAAAGCTACTTTTAATCGTAAAAAATTGTCATGGCTCATATGTATTAGGAGGATTTAAATATATAGATAGATAAATAGAGATATATATTAAATCTTGAATTATATCTATAGTGAAAGAAAAATATTTTTTTAATTAAAACTTCAAATTCTAATCATTAATACATTTAGAATTAACTAAAAATGACAAATTATTATGAATTTTATTTGGAAACAAAATTTAGTACTTTATGACTACTTCATTATTTTATGTGTTATTAATATATATAAACTTAAATTTTAATTTAATTAATTTATATAATCAATATTAAATAAATTTATAAGTCAAATTTCAACTTTACAATCGTATAATCAAAACGAGCAGACGAGAAAAAGAAGCAAAGAGTCATGTCACATACGAATATATATATGTTGACTGCTTCCAATAATGTTAATAAATTGGCATATAATCTATTGAAAAAAATGTGTGAATGAGACGAATTTCTTCCCAGCTAAGCGCGTGGAAGTTTCGAAGTAAAGCCCATGTGCATCCCCTCTTTTCTCACCCATTTCTGCTCTCTTGCCTAACTCCCTCCGCCCTGGTCCACCCTAATCAATAAGCAGAAAACTTGAAATCAACCCTTCTCTCCTTGCAACCATATAAAGATACATGATAGCTTACGCTAAAGACCTGCATGAGCAAATATATTTAATCAGAGAAAAGAAAAAGAGTGAAAATGGAGGATATGCCACCAGGGTTTCGGTTCTATCCAACTGAAGAAGAGTTGGTTTCGTTTTATCTCCATAACAAGTTAGAAGGAAAGAGAGAGGACCTGAATCATCTTATGAACCGAGTTATACCAGTTGTCGACATTTATAACTTCAATCCATGGGATCTTCCACGTAAATCTATCATCTTCTCCTTTTAAATCTAATTATACCCCATCCTTTTTTGTTCTTTTGTTTCTTCATTTTCAGTTTCCATGAAGCTTTATACTTGGATCTTCAGTATGAAAGATTACCCAATTTTAGTAGTGTTTGCTTGCATACCCTCGTCGTATCTATCCGGTCATGCAGCTTGGGCTACTGTACTTGAGCTCAATAGTCAATATAAGCGTTTTGAGAAGAAAGTCATATCTCTTTTCCTTGATTTTACCCAAATACGAGAAAGTTTTCTTTTCTTTTTTTTTTTTTTATTTCATTGTGGAGTCTGGAGTCCTTCTCTTCACTTTTCTTGCATAGAATTTCTGAATTTCTTTGATAATCTTGGAAACAAAACTGGCAAAAGTTTCAAGGGTGCTAAGATTTTATGTTTTTTTTTTTTTTTTACATATATATATTTTCCTTATGTACTAGTATTTTGTTGAAGCAGAATTCTCAGTTTACCTGTGCCATAAGGACCCAGAGCAGTGGTTTTTCTTTATTCCAAGGCAAGAGAGTGAAGCTCGAGGAGGGAGACCAAAGCGGCTAACAACTTCTGGGTACTGGAAAGCTACTGGTTCTCCTGGTTATGTTTACTCCTTTGACAGTCGCCCTATCGGCGTAAAGAGAACCATGGTTTTCTACAATGGAAGGGCTCCAACCGGGAAAAAAACTGAATGGAAGATGAATGAATACAAAGCCATTGAAGGAGAAGCATCCTCAGCTAATGGTGCACCTCCCGCTGTAAGCACTTAACAACACTTCCCTCATAAGTAACAATTAAAAAGAAAAAACTTCATACAATAGATTTTTTTTTCTGTATATACAAGGGATGAAAGATTTGAACCCAGTTCTATGAGCAGGATCGAGAACAATGATTAGATACTTCTAATATTCTTGCTTCATTTAATTTTGGTTATTGATTTAATACTTGCACCAAGTGTTACTATAAGATAGTTCTTAATTTCCTCGTCTGGTAGGTTTTGTTGTTTGTTCTTGCTGTTATTTATAACTGCATTTAATTTTTCCCATGTTTTTTCTTTTCAGCTAAGACAAGAATTCAGCTTGTGCCGGGTTTACAAGAAATCAAAATGTTTGAGGTCATTCGATAGGCGGCCAGCACCAGGAGTAATAAAGATAGGGGAGCGAGTCCCTCAGCATGCTAATGCTTTCGGGGTAGCAAAATCTCATCAGAGCATTCAAACAGCAGATGGAAGGACCACAAGCTCACCAGAGAGTTCATCTTCAGGAGATAATCAAGCCAATCGGCCTACCCAAACTGGGGAAAGCAGTAGCTCAAGAATGGCAGTCGATGATGAAATTTCCTTCTGGGATCTTGAAGGGTTCTGGGATCAAGTTAATCAGTAATTGCAGATGGAGAACTTGAAGAGCTCAAATCAAGTTTGCATGGTGCAATCACAATCAACATGAAACTAAAATAACCCTATTACACAACAATAATAAATTCTAGCTATATATGTGTTCAATTTGGTGAAAATCCGAGCTTTAATTTGTTTAGTACTAGCTTTTATCCTTTTTAGTTGTCTTGATATATAGCTAGCTAGCTATCTATGTCATGCATTCCAAGCTCACAGAAGAGAGAAGGAATGCACCCTGGAAGTTTCGAGGATGCAACGAGGTGGATAATAGCGATATTGCATGGAAGCTTTGCATCATTAATTACTGTTAACTTTGTACCAGCTATCTATAATACGTGTGGAGACTTTTTAGTCTTTCATTATGAAAGCTAAAAATCCCTAATTTTTCAATCTCTCGCATTTTTAGCATATGATAATCTAATAAATTACTTTCTTTTCTTTGATTGAATATAAGTACTAGGCATGCAATATACTAATATATAAAATTTTTTGTACGTATGAAAATTCATTGAACTTGAATTACACGTAAGTAATAATTCTCTTTGATCTCACACAAACTCTTTCGTTGAAGTGTTTTTGGGTTAGCATGGCAAAGTCCATAAGCAGCTTGGTAAAGAGCAGCATGTCTAACTTGTCAAGGTGAAAAATAGGTGTTGAAGTTAGGGTTTTGAGAAACATTTCTACACTAAAGTCAATAACCATGCAAGAAAAAAACAAGGAAGTAGTCTTTTATCTTACAACTCTTATATAGGACATATAATTGTATGATTCGTATCAAATATAGTACAAATAACACCTTTTTTGTGAGTCTCATGAACTTATTCTTGTATTGGGCCTTTAGCTTAATGAAGTATTAGGTCTATGTTTATCTTGCTTTCTTTCCCTAAAATTAGAATCCAACAAGACCTCCAAATAGAAATACTCTAAAATTTATATACCGAATACTACATAATTAATTAATTAATTAATTAAGTCAGTTGTCATGTAGCTTAGCAAAAATTGCTTTCCCTATATATATATATATTTTTTTTGATAAAAAGCTCAATACAATATTGTATCTTCTAAAATTTATAATGAAAGATATTATTGGATTTTTAAGTTTATATTTTTTTTGGCTTAGTAAAAACCAGTAGATAAGATACTTTAATTTCATAATTAACTTTATTTCAATTATGTTACCCAGAATAATAAACATATATAGATATACAAGTATACTTATATAACAAGTTTTGCATTCATATATAATTATATAATTAAACATCATTCTCATTGACTAATCAACAAAGATTCTTTTCCATTGACGAATAGCAGTAAATGACAATATATAGTGCTTGAAAGTATGTATGAAGCTGTAGGTCAGTCATGCACGTGTCAACGTTGAAAAAGATTCGATACAGAAAAATGAACTTTTTTTTTGTTCTTTCTCTTTTTTTCATCAGTTAATTAAAGTTGATTTCCCATTTTTCTTTTCCCTTTGAAAAAGGAAATCAATTCATCAACACTCCAAACAACAACATCTCCAAGGAATTGGTCAAGAATTAATGTCAGAATGTATAGATTAATATGAATGATTCGTCTTTTTTTAATATGAACATAACAAAAGTTATATGACTGCCGCCTTATCTACAGTTTCCAAATCTTTTTCTTTTTTTTCAATTTCACTTTACCCTGTTTATATTGCATGAATTACAATATATAATTTTTAACATATCTTATTATAGTAAGTATGTTAGTAATAAATCATCCTGCTTCATAATTCTAAAAGCATATATAATCCAAATTCTTTCGGATTTTCTTTTAGTTCATTTTAAAATACAACCACACATATCCAACGAGTGGCATTTGGATAAGCCATGTAAATGTTTCTCCACATCTACAATTTCGCCTCAAATTGTTAATTTTTTTTAAAAATTTTTTACAGAGTTTAAGAAAATTTAATATTAAAATTTTAATTTTTCATAATAAATTATGATACATAATTTCTAATGTCAAAAAATTAAAAAATTATGAAAATTAATTTTGATATATAAAAATAAGAATCTTAAGTGTTTAAAAAAGAAAAAAAGTTTTTGAACATCTAGAAAAAGAAAATATGAAACAAAAAAAAAGACAGGAAATATTAGTATACGAGTAAATGATAAGCAAATGCAACATGCGAACATAAATTTTTTTCGCTAATTCTTTCCCCATATTTTCATATATATATATATATATGCATTTATTTGAATTTTTCTTCAATGTGATAACGAGAGAACAATCATTGTCCATGCACTTGCAAACTCAAGGAAGAAGGGCAAGCTGTATAGAATGTTGGTTGCGTCATATAATAGTAAATTTCGTGCCAAATTCTTGTCATTTAACGACAAGAATAGTGAAAGAAAAATCTATGAAGAACCATGAGAAATTCTTCACTCTTGTCTTCAGAGGGGTTAATGCATTGAATGTAACCCAAGAAAGTCCCACCGCGCAGCAAGCACTAGTACGGGAAAGGACTAGCTCCTGTTCCTATCGTAGCCAACTGTTTCACACCATTGGTTCTTTTCATTAATTTCCTTTACCAGCTTCAAAGAAAATTACTAGCCATTATTGAATGCTCTCGAGGGTAATGTGTATCTGCCTATAAATTTCGTGTTCTAATATGTTTTTAACCTTTACAAGGAAGAACATACGACCATGAAATTTTAGAATACGTATTATCATCGTACCAGATTCATATCAATTACGATTTTATAATTACTCAATATATGATAAGCCGGTAAAATTTAAACTCTATTGATGATGTGTAAAAATAACAAAATCTAAAAATAAAGAGTTAATTTAACGATTCATGAATAATAATTTATAAATTTATCGTTAGATATTGAATAATCCTAAAATTTTAATAAGAAAAAGCTGTTGTTGTTATAAATTCTATCATAAACGTGACATCCTAGAATATGGAAATATATATTTATAATTTTTTTTTATTTGTGTCACGGAAATTTGAACCAGATTATAAGCTTTCTTTTCCTTTTTTTTTTTTTAAGAAAAAATGAATTTATTCATTAAGCCAAGGCAAGAGATGAAAACGAATTATGAAGGACTAATAAATCCAACTATTATTAGAAAACCATCAAAAAATAACAATTACAAAGAGAACCCAAATTATAGGCATATTTGGGTTAAAAAATATTAAAGCCCACTCAAGTTAGAATTATATTTTCCATTAATTCCATATAAAAACTAACTCCATTCTTACTCCTACTCGTGGACATCTCTAGTAGGAATAGATGATTAAGAAGGAATAATATTTAGTAATAAAATTTGATTTAGAATCTCTTTGTTATTATCTCTTTACTTTACATTTGTATTCATAGTTTGAATTTTTGGGTACATTACAAATAAAATTCAAAATTTTTTTATTAGTTATAATTTTAACTATTTTGTACTTTGCACAGCTATATGCACAATCAAAAATAAAAAAATAATAATAACAGATATCGATATTTTAAATTTTAGATTTTCTAAATAACATTTTTTAAATATAACTGTAAAAATCAAAAGAAAAGTCTCGAGTTCACTAACCTTTCATTTATCATAATTTATTATCAAAGTATTGGAAAAAAAAAATATTCCATTATCCGACATGTTTTCAACAAATTTAATTAACCTTCTTTGACAAGTTTGAATGTGAAAAACGTTTTCTATTTAAGTGGTTTCCCATGCACTACCCTCTCTTATTTGCTGCCATAATTTTTTATTACTTGGATTGAAGAAAAGGAAAAAGAAAAAGAAAAAAAAAAAACACTCCTTTTGACCATTGTTTTCTTCTCACTTTTTCTTCCTTTTAGTTAAAAGTTCTCACCTTTTTTAAATTTCTTAGTTCTCACGTCTATTCATAGATTTTTTTTTTATGAATGAAATAATCATATTTACTTTAGAATTCAAATTTGAGACTTTTAATTAATATCACATTGGATACTTTAGTTAAATTTTAATTAATTTATGAGCATATTATTTATATTATGATATGAGAGAAAAGAGAGCATCTCAATTTTGAAGCTCTATCCATTGAGCTTTTCTAATGTACAATAAAATAAAGTTGAAGTTTATGGATATAAGATAGCAAGATTCATGATTTGAGAAAATTATAAAATAGAAATTTAGGGAAATTTGTTATTATATTTATCATAACATATAAATTTGTAAATTTATAACTAGATTTAACAAATGAGTCACCACTAATATTTTATTAAGGTGTGATGATCACTTAATGAATCTATCATTTAAAGAGATCTAAGCTTGACTAAGGGTCTTTAAAAAAATAAGTTATTAGTACTAACCAGAACAGAGTTCGAAAATTCGATTATATATGAGGAAGGTTATAGCACCCTACATGCCGATCCAAATGATAATACCATTTTATTTTAAATTATATTAATGTCTTGATTCTAATGATCTTAAATATAATATTGAAAATAATTCTTAAGATTTCTCTATCAATCAGGCAGAATTCTTAATAATACTTTCTCACCTCGAGAGTATTCAAAAATCTCATTTATTTTCTTAAAGAGACTCCATCATAAAAAAAAATTTAATCATTTTTTTATTTTTAATTTTTTATTAAAAATATATCTAATTTTTCTATCATTTGGGTCAAATTAGAAATATTTTGTCATCTAAAAATATCTTAAATAATCATCCATTTGTGATTACTAAAAATTTTATCCTCGAAATTTATTTTTTTATTTTACAAGTTTTATTTTTAAAATTTTTACTATTTGGATTAATTTAGAATTTTTTACAAATTTTATTTCTAAATTTTTCATCATTTAGGTCTATTTAGAAAAAAACTATTGTTAGTTCCCTAATGTTTGAAAAAAAAGTAACATGACAATTATTTTTGAAGTTTCATTTAAATTTTTTTAGCAATTGGGACAAATTTAAAGAAATTTCTTTCTTAGAGATTTCTTAGAAATTTGTCATTTGAAATTTTAAAAAATTTCAAATGACAAATTTCTAAGAAATCTTATTATTGGATAATTATCAAATATTTTTCTCACATTTTTAAGTTATATTTTTTTTATTTGAAAAAGAATATAATTACTTTTATAAAAATTTTATTTAAATTATTCTACCATTTTGGACAAATTTAAAAAAATTCTTCACCTAGAGATTTCTTAGAAAATTTACCATTTGAAATTTCTAAGAATCTTATCATTGGGTAATTATTATTAATTCTAAAATTTTAATTAAATTTTGCGTTTTTTTATTTTTTTATTTTTTAAAATTGAAAATAAATATTAATTATTATTATTGAAATTTTATATAAATTATTCGACAATTTGAAAAAAATTT